CTCAAGACTCACAGTTAAGAAACACGAGGCCCCAAAAGCGGGGCCTTTCCATTATGTACTCTCGGATGGCCTGAAAAGACATTGACGTCACAGTTTGTAAAGGCAGGAAAGATGTGTTACCTATTGCAGCCGACTGGAAACCAAATATTAAGATGTGGCGGATCATTACTGCACTTAATTGCATGTGGCAGAGGTACGTTGGCTTGCAACGCAATATTTGAAAATCGGTTTTGTGTGCTCTGGGCGCTTTGTGGGCTTCTATTATAACCTGTTTTCCGGGTACGGGCAGGAATCGTTATTAAATAGATTTCGGTTTTAGGGAGGCTTGCACGTGACTTGTTGCCGGGTGAGAATTGGTGATTCGGGTTGGTGGTCAACGATGTTTTCTAATAAGGAGAGGTATTTGGGCGCAGGGTTGAAGTACATGTACTCAACCGTACAGATTGCATGCACAGGAACAGCTAGGTGTAGCAGCCGATAATTTATCCGTATACGTATTGGTTTTTCTCCTACCAGAACGTTGGGTTTGCCTCTTCAAGATCTAGAGTATGTCGAGCTAGCTAGCCGAAGCTTCTTTGGCCCAGCTGGCCAGCCTTGCCCGCTGCGACAATACGGCAAACTCGTTCGAAACAGGCCACGGTTTAATTGTCTTTTGCTAGCGGAGAATAACCCTAGATACGTGGCTGTACAAGGCCTTCCAGCTTGTGCTAGTGCCCGGAGTTTGACCGGGGACTTTGAAGATGGTTCAGGTCATATGCCTATGGGCTTGGACCGTGATCAATTTAGATGAGACTCAAGAAAATCTATATAGAGTAGTTCTCTAGAAGGCTCAGTTCCCCCCATCACAGAGATGTGCGACTGTCCTCATTCCCCTCTACGCCGTGATGAGCCTAATTGAGACTCTTAAAAAAACCCGTATCGTGGGGAGTAAATCCTCGAACAGTCCCCACGAAACAGTCTTCTCCAGCAGTCTCAGGCTTCATTCACCCCAGGCATGTTGCGGCTGGCACGGGTGAACGACCGACTGGGACTCTAGAGAAGACTTATATCGTAGCGCTGTCAGGGATCCCCCTCTACCATGCTCCGAAATAAGTCTCCCTAAGAGGCTTAGCTAGACCCCCTACTATGTCCCGGCGAGAGTACCGAGAACTTATAAGAAGGCTTTTACGATAACCCGAGGCTAGCTAGGAGACCAGCCTCGTCTGAACCACGCAGTTCTTTCTAGAAAGCGTAGTGCTTTCGTGCGCTGGATGATGATACTTTTGTTGGAAGGAAGGGGGTAAATGGAGTGGAAGGTGGGTTTATATAAATTTGTGCACTAGTGGCCGACCTCTCAAGTATAGGGTTTTACGATAAAGGATAGGACTAGACCTAGGCTTAGGTGGTTGTTTGTCTGGGTAACTGCTGATACGAAATGTTAGGTGCGATTGTAAACTGCAACCTCAACCATCTAATGATGAGAATTAAAAGACAAGATGACTGCACGTGTATATACCGTCGGTCTATAATCTCGCTACCATAACCAAGCTGGTTTATATATCAAAACCGCCGCTTCACTTTCCCCCCCACAAACTGGTACCGACAACGAGACATCTTCAAAGCTTGAGACCTCCGGTATCGATCGTAAGACTGCAAAACTGCAGATACCTACCGCCAAAACTCGATAAATTAGCTATCTCCGGCCAGGGATTATCTCTTTAACGATTGGCTGAACGCTATTGATCACCCTCAGAAGTGTCCATTAGTAGTAATTTTGATCTTGCATGCATAGCTAATTTCTCGAGTTTTGGCGGTATATGACTTAGAACAGCACACTCTGGCCACCACCGCCGCATACACTCCATTCACCCCACAAAGTCCAAAATAGATACATACTCGCCGTCTGCGGAGAGTCTCTCAACGGACAGGACTGCAGCTGGTCTAGATCTCGAGAAGTCTCACCCAGCCCAGCCGACCACTAATATCAAAGGTTTTCGAACCCAAAGCCCACATCTAGTGGGCACAGCTAGAACCAGCACGCACCAAAGCCCAAAAATAGGGCATCATGAGGAAGGACCTGGCGTTACAAATGCCCCCCACGTACCAAGCCCGCGGAAGCCCAAATAATTAATTAAAGAAAAAAAGAAAAAAAAAACCACGGAAGCCCCATAGCCGGTCACAAAAGATCACTCGCACGCACGCCGTCATACCCGTGGATGCTGACTCTTCTAGTGGGGGCCGTCCGGGTCAAGCATATGTAGTTGATGAGTAATCTACCCGCGATACCTGTAGTTAGCTCCGCGGCCCCCACGAGGGGGGCCTCTGTAGCGAGGAGTAGAGTAAGTGCCATCTCCAAGCTGCGTGGGATGTGGGATGAGAATGTGGGTGTCTTGGCCGATAAAGAAGAGTTGGCCGTGTGGAACCATCTGGTTGGGTGAGCCAAGTAGGCCAAGGTTGGGTGGTATTGGCGAGTTCTTTAGCTCGTAGTTCTTGGCGTGGGGAATAGTAGGAAATAGCTACACGTAGCTACCGCAGTAGTAAACATGAGGGGGTACATTTGAACAGTAGGGTAGGCTTGACTTTAGTTTACCTATTGGGTAGGTCTCCCATTTCTTATCGAGACATATCAATACACATGACAAGTAGCTACTCCAAAACCCAACAGTAACCTAATATCAGGTGTAGGGAATGGTCATGTTTGGATCTAAAGGCACTCAACTGGAGAAGTTTTGATAATTAATATTTTACAAGAAAAACGCCCCTTAAAGGCTACATGTATGTAGTTAAAAACCAAGGCAGACCAAGAAAAGTAGAAAAATAGAAAGGAACCCAAGAAAGAAGAGGAGCCCCCCCTTTTAAAAAAAAATAATCATACTCATCTAGCGTCTACCATCTAATCTTCCAACTCCATGTACGTATCACATTTAAAAATAAAAACAGAGTCGAAAGAAAAGAAAGAACATTTTACACCCCTCACCACTTTACTTACAACACCAACAACCCACCCCCCACCATCCCCACTATCCCCACACCCAGACCCAGCAACCACGCATCCCCGCTACTCCCAAGAGACATCCTCGCCCCGCCACCAGTGGCCTGTGTTTCCCTCACAATTCCCACCGACCCGGTCTGCGTCCCCAGCCCTATCGACCCGCTGGACGGCACGTACACGCTCGCATACAACTGCGGGAACTGCTGCGTGTAGATCGAAGCCACGACGGTTTTAGCACCGTTGGCGAGTGTCTGTGTGACCCTGTTTTGACGGCGTGTTAGCTGAGTGTGGGGTAGTGAGTGAGGGGCATGGAGGGGGAATTATAAGTACCAGACAGTAGTAGGCTCTGCTTTGGCCGTGGTTGTGGCAGTGAGATCTACTTCTGCAACACCACCGCCGATTCCCTGCGCGGAGACCTGGAGGGCCTGGAGAAAGAGAGCTGCTGCAGCGGTCGTGGTGAAGGTGGTGAACTTCATTGTGGTGAGTGAATTCTATATTATTTTTGCTATCGGTGGGAATATTGTTTGATGTAAAGACTGGTTGATGGTAATCCTGAGCTGAAATTTCACGAGGATTCGAATTGCGTACGTGGGCGTCTAACACTTTACTCGGAATCCGGACTGAACTGCGCTGAACTGAAGATACGAACTCAAACGAAGGACAGGCAGGGCCAGGGAGGATGTCGACGTAGCAACAAAAAAAGAGAGACTGACTAGCTGATAAAGACTAAGGAGTGTGGGTAAAAAAAAGTAAGTTGCCCTGACGAGGGAGTGTGAATATAGTAGCAGTGATCGTGAACGGGAAAGGGAGAGACAGACAGGACAGGACAGGTCAATTCCTGTGTTGTTAAGTTCCCGTCCAGTTCAGCCCGCTGCAGGCCAAATCCTTCCTTCAGCCCTAGTCTCACCTACTCACTCCCACTCCCGCCCTGAAAAAAGGGGGGATCGGTAGCACTGCGACGCAGTTTCACCTAACAACTACTAGATTCAGGGCCTCTCTTCCCAAATGAAGTAATATGCGGCGGGTCCATATACCTGTGTTAATTGACACGGGGACCCTGCATCAGGGCTTTTCGACGGGGTCTAGTCCGTTCCCCGTTCGGTGGTGGGTTGACAGGGCCACGCGGACTCGGCGATCTAATCTACTCTATCAATATACACCTAGTTCCATACACAGTGGGAAGTTCCGAGCACATGAAGATCACGGAGCAATTGCAAATCCCATTGGTCCTGCTCTTAGACAACTTGCAAAGGGAATTAATGGAGAGTTTGATATCGCCAAGTAAATTGGGACAGGCAAACTAATCAGAGAAGGGTGTTTCGCTTGCAACTAATTCATCCGCTTGTGGTAGATCGGCGGATTTGATGTAACGTTGCGCGAGATCCCTGAACAACGCAATGACAACAGTTGTTGGGCAATGAATTAAACAAAAAACAAAAACAGTTGTTGGGCGCTACAGTCATGGATAGTCACTCGAGGTTTTGGGCATGACGAAAATCTAGCTGGGTAGAATGCCTACATACTAATATTGTAGGGATTTTATGACATTGGTTATGGCCGCGATTCGTGTATTGCTTGGTCCTGACATTTAACCCACTAACCAATAGGCACATCACATGTTCACTTACTTTTCGGGCTCTTCTTGCCATCATTGGGAGTGATACATGTAAGTTATCCTCACATTCAAACAGTGCGCGAAGAATCAATTTGATAGTAACGATCGACAGCAAGCAGAAGTAGAAAATAACAAACAGAGAATAAAAGCACCAAACAAAAGTAGAAAACACAATCAAGCTAAACGTGCCAATCTCGGCATATGTATCCTCCCCCAAACCGTCCCAAATCCTCCACTAGTAACCTGCAGTCCATATTGTTGATGGTTTGATTTTCGTTTTCAGAAGTAGCTACATCAATGGACCGATAAAGAGCAAATGAAAAGAAAGAAAAGAAACAGAACTAAAAACTCGAAAAACAGAGTCGGAAAATCATAACAAAAAGAAGTCCTGGTATCACATACTCCAATGCTCCCCTACAAGTAATACATCGTATTGAGGAGGTTAGGATGAGGTCCATTGCCCCACAAATCCCTTGCCCTCTTAAAATTAGCAGCGGCCTCTTCATCGCTATTCGAGCTATGAAGACTCGCGGTATCGGGGGCATTGAGTAAGCCATAGATGTAGCATCTGCCGCGCTCGCAGACAAGATCTGCGTAGTACGCTGGTGGGCAAATACTAACAGACTTGGTTGCACGACCAAAAAGATAGCAGAGATTGTGGGTCTAGAAAGAAGTGTATTAGCAATGTTTACTAAACTGTGGGGACTTATTTATCAACATACCAGTGTCTGCAATTGGTTGGATTTAAATTCATTCTTGTCGTGAATGACATAGTAATGAGCCGGGCGAGTTGTCCCCTGCAAACCGGAGTGTGCCTGCAAGTAAAAGTCGAAATCATAAACAGCAGTGACACCCCTATCCACAACAGTTCCAGGCGCAGGATTTCCGAGTCTGTCCGCCTTGTCTTTATCCGTGGGATAGAAACGGGTGTGGTGCCTTTTCCCCACAATAATGATGCTGATCTTTGGCCTATATTTACTATCTCCACATTGTTGGCATGCTGCACGGATCAACGGGAGCTCCTCCTTGATCACAGTTTGGAATTGACCTAATATAGAAAAAAAGAGTTAGATGATGATTCCCTATATACCATAGGGTTTGGGGTCTAGAAACCTTCTGAAACACCATCCCGATAAACAATGATCCTTTGTGGGAATTTCCCGTTAACAGAGTTCCAACGTTGAAGGCGTTCGACCATCATTTCTTTCAAGCCAGATATCATCTCCTTGCGGCTTTCCTGAAGCCTTAGCGAGGCTGGCCATTGCGCAAAATGCGCATCAACACTAGCCACTACTCCGGCAATAGACGGTGTTCCCTTCAAACTTCCAGGGGAAGGGTGGGTGACATCGCATCCAACCTATTAGAGAGTTAGAGTTGTCACACGAATGTTTATATCCCGGAATCTTACAATCATAGTGGTGCCTTCAGCAAACATCCCGAGATCTGTAGGTGGTAGCCCATGGTTTCTTCCCATGAGCTTCAGGTTGAATTTAAGCGCAACATTGGCCATGTACTGGGGGCTCATCTTGCTAATCTTGAAGGATTGAGCACAGACTGTGCTGATACCGTACTTGACATCGCCCAGGTATTTCACCATTGAATACACAGCTTTGTCTGTCGTGGGCAAAAATATCAAGATGATTTTTGGTTTTTTGGCTTGTATATGGGCAAACGCAGGTGAAATCGCCTTCTCGAGGGTAGTAGTGGAACGTTCATTTGGATGTGGAAGACTGACAGACTTCATCAGTTGAGGACTAGTAGCGCCAACCCTCATCCCAGATTTGTTGCACATCTCTCTGAAGTTTGCAGCAACTCCACTCCAATCCGAGCCTGGCTGGAATTGGGCTCGGCCACCGGCCTCTTCGATGACAATAACTGCAAAATTCTCAGTACTGGCACCTTGGGCAAACTTGACATTCCTCAAATTCCAGCTTGCCCCGGTTACGGCCATTGTCGAAGTGGCATATTTGATTGTGGGTGGAGCGAGAATTCTGGCAGGCACTGTTATCATTTCCGTCGACACTTGGATGTTAAATGGGCCCTTTGAAATGTTAGAATCTTGAAAAAAGTAAAGAAAAAAGAACAAAAACTCACTAAGTGTGGAGTTGGAGGGTTCAACCCAAGACTACTAAGGCCCTCCCCAACAATGAACCCAGCATTTTCCCTCGGAGTTCGGCAGGCATGGGTAATCATATTCGCCGTTTGCTCATCCATGAGTTTATTCCCGTAGGCTTGGCCCGGAAGCACCGTTGCGACTTCAGGTGGCATCAAAATCGGCTTATCCTTAGTGCCAACATCCACGCACGGAAGGTTGGGATGTTTGAGAGTTATATTATACTCTGTGAAATGATATTGTTAGTAGACATCTTTGAGATGGAGTGTTTGGGTATTACTTCGTTTGAAATATTCAGGAATAGAAACCTCCTTCCCCCACTCCTCGCACGTAAACCTGATATCCTTGGCTGCCCTTCCATGTCCAATCCCAATGATGGCCTTGACCTGTACTTTTGGCTTGCCATTAGCCCCCATGATATGACAGGTGCTAATCCGAAGACGCTTCAGGAAACCTCCCAACCGCCCAAAGATATGTGACGGTAATGTCGCGCCGGAAGGAGCCCCAGTGAAGTCGTACATAAGGGTTGCAACATCGGTTTGCCTGCAGGGTCATTAGCATCTCAACTGACAATATTAGGCAATTTCGAAACAAGAGGTAATACCTATAAAACGCTGTCATACAAACGTTGACATTACATAAAATACGACTAATCGACGGGCGAATCGAGGAGTAGTATCCACGAAAGGCCACAAGGCCTCTCCCCAGAGGTCGAGGATCCGAATTCACAAAGAATTTGCTCCTCCCATTAGGAATAATTGCAGGGTCATTGGTGGGCGCCTTAGAAAGTATGATATTGAGTGCCTGGATGGCGCTTTGTGGGTCAAAATCGCGGTTGTTGCCATCGACATACTTTTGAAACTCGCCGGGATCAATCAACTGAACAAGCTGGATCGTCACCATATACTTTCTACTGTTTTCAGTGATGGTCTGGCCCTCATCGTAGTAAGTAATCTCGACTTGCAATCTGTCGCTCTCGATCTTGAGACGGGATGGAGTTATGATTGTCTTTGAATAATCGGTAGCAATTATATTCTGTTGTGAACTGAAGACAGTCATCTCCAAAATTTGGAAGACTCTTTTCTTCATCCTTTTAATTTTTATTTCCGGTTGCATACCCACATCATACTTGAATAAAGTAGTTTTTGGGATAGCTACTGGGAAATGATTCGCTCGGACCAAGGTCTGCACGCCTATGGTACCATAATCTGGACGCAATGGTAAATCGAAATCGCCTTTCGGTTTCAGCTTTTGTGCTTGAACGGATGCAATAAGTCCATTCTCGGCAGCAGTGACTTTTGGGTCGATAGCTGCGGTTCCCCTAAAGCATCTCATGTTAGAGCAATACCCCCAGTAAAAGGCACAAAATAACTCACTGGCTGAATATTGTGTCTCCACCAAAGCCGCCCCTACCACGACCGCCGTCATACCCACCCCTACCTCTACCACGGCCACCGCCATCACCATAACCACGGCCACCGCCGCCATCACCCCCACCACGACCACCGCCGCGTCCACCACCACCCCCTCCTCCGCCACGATCTCCACGAAATCCTCCAAAGGCGCCGCCTCTTCCTCCACCTCTATCTCCTCCACCACGCCCCCCTCGAGGTGCGCTTCCACTCATGGTCTGGTTGTTACTATTTTCACGGAAAGTATTTGACCCTGTGTGTATGCTTGATATAGCGTTTTTTTTTCGCACCGTAAATCTTGATGCTTGGTGTTTGGTGTTTGGTGCTTGGTGCTTGGTGCTTGATGCTTGATGGAAACTTACTGCCTTGCTGATGGTAAGATAGGACAAGTAGACAGATGGATGAGAGACTGAAAGATGTTGTGAACGATGAAGAGAGGGCAGGTGGGAGTTTATAAAATACGTACGCCCTTGTCTTGCAGCAGCGAGGGGCAGGGTGTATGGACCGTGCGTAAGCAAATTGCTACGTGCGACCGTTACCTTGGGGGAATGACACGCCATAACTGTTATGGTTTAACGTACGCTAATAAATCCTTTGTTTTGTTCTCCAATTAAGCTCCGGGGCATCATATCAGGTTAGATACATGTAAGTATCTACAAGTTACCAGTTAGTATCATGCGCGATTCAGGCCTCCCATAATTCCTGTTGCCCCCGACAGCATCATACAGCATACGATACAATTGTTGGACTCATACTGCTGGCAGGTGTTGTTAACAACCGAGCCGAGATTTTTGTGTCAACTCAGAATCTGACCGGCGTTGGATTGGTAGCTCTCGGAAAGAAGCAGCCCCATTGGAACGATTTTTCCGATTGTTTATCCTCGCCAAGTTAAGGCCTACAGTACAACCCAGGTCGAATGATATCTACATCATCTGGCCTTTGTAGGGATGAGCTCTCGTAGTTTACATATCGCCTTTACTCTCAATTTCTTGTCAACTATCAACTATTTGGCCTCTTTGAAACAGGTATCAAATAGCTCGAGCCTCGATCGATATTGTATAGAGTGCTCGAATTTCAGGCAAGGATCACAAGAGTTTCGGAAACAATTTCCAAGTATTGCCACAAAATGACTCAATTACAAGCAGCCACTACGATTATTTACCGTTTCACCAGAGCCCCAAAACTCGCATGGTCAACATATCTCCAATTGGCGCACATTTTTCTCCCTTGCTTAAGTGCCAGCTCAGAAGACCAGAGTAGGTATTCTCCAAAATTGAATGGTATGCGCGTACTTGCGGCATTCGGGAAGCCTGAAAAAATTCAGGCGCCAGCGTGGTTGGCGAACGAAATGTAGTCATCTTGTCATTTTAGTCATGAGTTGTCACTCACTTATACCAAACCAACATGCAAACATCAGTGCCAGCAACAACGTATGGTCTACTCTACTGGTCACCAGAACTCAATGGATGGCCTTAAAATATTTTCCCACTTATTGATTCTTTTGCGAGAGCCCATTTTCTATTGTTTGACGAGCCCATCATACTTCCCGCCTCACAAACGGCCATTCCTCTAGTTTTTAACAGTAAACCGCCGGCAGAACTTAGAAGTCGCCATTAGGGATTTTTCATGGCATGTGCGCCTCATGACTCAACATAGCTCCCTTCTATTGTATCGTTGTATCACCTACCCATCGAGTCTAGAACAAAATAAGTGGTTCTGATACTTAGGACCCTGTCAACATCCTACTTAATCGATAATCTTAGGGCCTCGACAAGACTGGTCCACGGACTCGAGCTCCCAAAGTTCTAGATTCAATCAGCAGGCCAAGACGGCAATTATCCGAGCCTCGTTTCGTTTTAGTCGTACCCGTTACCACTTTATTGTTGTGTGACGAAGTAATAATCAAGACATCTAATATTTGCAAAGACCAGCGGGGAGGTTGGCGCTGTTGAGCTCTCTTTTGAGAACACCCCCCCCCCCCCCCCCGGGGGGGAACTCGAGCGATAACTACATGTAGTAATCCGGAGGTTTTTCTGGAGCTAGATGTGCTTCTCATATTAATTGACCACCCGCGCCTCAATGTAGCTTACAATAATCACACTACTTACATCATTTCTGTCCTCTAACGTGTTTATATCTAGAGAAGGGCTGGGGAGATTAAGAACTTGAGTAACGACCATGGGTTCTACTGATTTTGTACGGATAGCGAGCTCTTTACTTTTAGAGACGCCAGAAAAGCCTTTTCTATTAAGATCAGATCTACGGTAGGTTTAATTTATGGCACCTTTGATAAGAAAATTCCGCTGATGAGATCTTGAAATATCATACAGGGACTACTAGAGCTAGAGGCCTACCGTTTGTTACCGACCGGAATTATAGCGGGCCGAGCAGGATATTCTGCTTGAGTTCATATAACAATTAAATGCATGCCATAAGGGTACATTTGGGACTGGAAACTTGGTATATACCCTTTAGGAGGTCCACTTATAGAAGCTTTAGTTAGCTGTACTATCCGTTCACATTAGCTTGATGAACACACTTTTTTCTCCCTTGCCGGTCTTCGAACGCTTCTTTCTCTTTTTTAAATCTCATCTGCCTTTCAAAACATCTCTTCCGAAATTGCTCACGGTGATCCAGGAATATTCTGCTACAAACAGTAACAAAAAAGGAAAGGATCATCTCCTTTATCGATTGAAGAGTTTGAATATATCACTGGTCCTAAATCGAAGGTTCCATAGTAGCCCGGGCTATCATAGGCCAATCAGCGCCCTTTCTTTTCTCGTCCGTTATTTAGTATCAGCTTTTGCGCAAAAGACTCCAGCTCTAAATTCGGGTTGTCTGGTTGGCGGATGGGAGAATCGGTACCAAATTAGGTTACCGGAAGATATTTAACTAGAGCTGGATCGATCTAATAGTAAATAGTAGATAGACTACCCCTAGTCCCATCGAGACAAATGCTGATTGGTTAATTCCTAGTGATTAAAGCCATTCATGATCCTCGAGCTCCTCTTAGACCCGGCCTCATGCACGCCAAGATGGTGGCTAATGCTAACAAATATTATCTGAATTAATCTCTGGCCAACCTCTCTCATCCCTCTTTGGGTATCAATGAGAATATTCTGGTGGCAAGTGATTGGGGGGGGGGCGGATTTGACTGCATCAACGTCTGGTTGGAGCGTCCGGATAGAGCTATGGAGTGTTCTAGTATGTACTCTAAAGTCTCTAATACCTAATGCCGTCTGATTGAGGACTATACTGACTGATATGGTTCTGTCCAGTAAACTCCCTCTACTAATACGGAGCTCGGAGCTACCTCACAGCTTTATCCACCTACATATCCCACGATTCCCCCACGATAAAGCATGTACTGCAGGGGCATACGCGAACCTCCCAACGTATCAAATCCCTAGCGATCAGATCAGCGCATCCCTTCCGGGTATCTCTACACATCTAAACATAGCAGCCCACTGCATTTGTACACCCCATCCACAAGCGTAACCCCTGGACCGCCGCTGCGCGCAGCAACAGAGGTCTCCCCACAGTCTCAGACTCTCAGGAATAATTCAGAACCCAACCGAACCCGCGCACTGGCCCTAGAGTTAAGAAGGCCGAATGTTGTTGTTGCGGCTGAAACTTCTTCTAGCTGGCACCGCACACGCCAAGCATTATCTAGTCTCTGGGGGCGCGTAGCAGCGGGACCTCGTTGTCGGGAGTTGCCGAGAAAACCCCCAACATTTCCCTTCTTCAAAGTTCAGGGACCTGTTTGGATCGTTCAAGTCGGAAAACGGCCGGAACGATCCCAGACAGACGCAGACGACAGACCACCACCCACCACCACCGCCATCTAGATACATGTAGGTACATACATACACATCGGATTTCATGACTCCCACCACTTTATATTAGAGTTTTTGACAAAAACACGCAAACGGGTTGCATCTCTACATGGGATTCTAGGCGCCCTCTCATCTCACATCTCTCCGATATAGAATGAGGTGTTATCTGCCTGTCTGCCTAGTTGTCGGGTTGAATTGACAATCCAGCCAGAATGTCGGACTGGACAGCATCCTAGGAGCTCGAGCCCTCCGAAGGTTCAGCCCGTTGTTAGAGCATCGCTCACTCGCTCGCCAATTGCCCGCGGGAATTAAAGACTTTATTCCCCGCAGTAGGCCTAAGCGTGAACAATGGGGGTTATTATCTCCATTAAGGGAAAGTTCTGGGCGTAATAGGTTACAATCGCGGGAAGCCTTGGGATATATATACAGTTTCAGGTCGATTGCAATTGGATTGAATTGAACTGTATATAGTATATTCCGGGTTCCCTCTAGGTGCTATTATTAAAGCAACAAAAATAAACAAAAGACAATTAAGACAAGAAGTGGTGTTATGTTTACTGCCTACACCGGCAGTGTAGGGATGTGTCTAGATGAACCAAGTCAAAAGTATTGAACTCGAAAAGGTGTCCTCAGCAATAAACGAAGCTCAACGTGAGGGTGAGTAATATCAATATCGCTGGTGCCACCATCATCAACGCACGCACGCGCATCTGAAAGAAGGAAACCCGAAGATCCGGAAGGCAGATAGGTAGGCTGAAGCTTCACAACCGCCTCCGCGCATCCATCTCAAAACGCACAACGATGTCCAAGATCACATATGCGTAGCAGAATTGTGTCCCCACAACATATAAAAACGGATAAGCCATTGCGAATCGAGAAGTGTGTGTAGATATATGAATAATGCACATAACCTAATCCGTCTGTCTGTTTTTCTTTAGGTCGCGGAGCTGTGAAAAAAAACTCTTATTCTACATGTAACTAGATCTCTAATATCAAATCTTTCCTAAGTTCGAATTTCGTTCGATTTCCCGCGCGCAACAAGCAAACAAAGAGCCAACGTAACAGCATAATAAGAAGAAAGCAGAAAAAACCGAGAAGAATGAATAGAAAGCTGAAAAGTGAGACACGAAATGGTACTGAAGTTATAAACACCGTATGTATAGCATTGGAAGAATCAAAAGTGTAGCTGGATAGAGTCTGCGCAGCACAGCTCCCCCCGACACATTAAAGCGTATTAGAGTAGTACGTAGAATAGAATAGGTAGATGAGCTCAGGAAAGCTAGAAAAGAGGAAACATCCGCCGTAAAACAAGAAAATGATCAATCCAAGGTCGCCCTTTTCCTTCCATCTATATAAGCAGTTGTTATAGTAATAAAGTTTTGCCTCCCCCCCCGAATCAAGATTCGCAATTCGAGCCCAGCAGGAAGTAGGAAGTTGAATTTTTTTGTTATCGCCATTTCAATTGGCTTTTTATCGCCTCCGTTTTCTCGGTATGTGCCATCCGTTCATTTGCTCGTATGTTTGTGTGTGTTTGTGTATGAAATCGACAAAAAGGTTGTTGAAAAAAACCGCCGCAGACGGTATTCCGCACACCCTGCCGTACTCGCCATTCTTCCTTTTCCCCATCCCATCTCCCACTCTCAATTCCCCGCCCTGATCTCTAAGGGAAAAAGCAGGAAGAAAAAAGCACAAAAAACGAGAAGGAACAAAAAAAAAAAAGAAAAACAACCACTACTCTACTACTAGTAAATAGTAGGGTAATCGCTCACCCCCGTGTGGGGGGAGAGGGGGGGGTCTTCAGACCGCGAACTCCTCCAAGTCCCTCACAACAATTGCCACACTCGCCCTCTTTGCAGCCTCCGCCACAAGGTTCATCTCCTTCCGCAACGAGCTCGCGGGATCCTGGTCGCCGCACGTGGGTGTGTTTTTGGGTATCGAGCCTCGGCGGCTGGTAGACCTTGTTGGGTTGGGTGCAAGCAGGTTTGATTCTTTGGCGGGGCCGCTACTCGATGATGAGGAAGGTGAAGACATTGTGTGTAGTAATAGTTGTGGTGGTGGTAGTATAGTAGAAATGGTTGCGAGGATGGTGGTAGATATAGTTATGAGGATGGTAGTAGTGGTGTGGTGGTGGTTGTGGTAGGGAAAAAAAAAGCAGATACGTATGTATGATTTAGATTACCGGCGTCAATTGTACACGGTAACGGTTATGGGTACATATACTAGTGGATATTTAACGAGCGGTGTGAATTGAAGCGAGTTGTCAATTGGCGGGATAGAAGGAGAAGCGCGAACGGAGCGAGCGTGAGGGAGAATGAGTGAGTGAAAATGAAAGAAAAGAAAGGAAGAAAGGAAAGAAAAAAAACCGGGGGAGTAGAGAAATATGTAGTGGTGACTCGGACGAAGAAGAGTAGTAAGGAAGAAAGGTGTGCTGGCGGCGGCGGCGGCGGCCTGTTCCCTAAGTTCGGACGCAGGGTACCGTATATGCAAACAAGGGGAATATCGGAGTGGGTGGAGCTTCTTCTTCTTCTTTGCTGGGCTGGTCCTTTTTTTTTTTTTTTTTTTTTTTTTTTTTTTTTTTGTGAGAGTGGGGGTGTGTTGAGTGAGGTGAGAATGAACTCCTGTTAGAGTATGTACCGGACCTACAGCACAGTACCTACATGCTACATGTAGGTACACATATGCGAATATACTTCACTCATCACTCAGCTCACTAGCACTCTACTACGATCCATTGATCCATTACTCCCAACCAGCCAGTCGGTCCGATCCCCACATATGCAACATTGGGGTGATTTTTTTGATATTTTTTTATTTTTTTTATTAACTCTGCAGATGTAGCTGGCCAGGTTCGGTGGAGCTGGGTTGGTTTGGGATTTTAGGGTTGGATTCTATCTGGGCCTGGGGAGAATTGAAATCGCATATGCTAACTGAATAACAGCAAACCATCGAAGATGGAAATAGACACAGCATTCTTTCTTCCTTGGATAAGAGTTCTGTTACCATACTTTACGCGCAGTGCCACCCCACCTGTGTTTCTCTGCCAATCTCCGTTTGCAGCCAAGAAACAAAAGAACGCGGATTATTCCAATGGCACCTGAAACCTTGCAGTTTGTGCTTCTTGAATATACTTCCACGCATACACCAGGGGGAGAAGAAGAGGGGAGGGGGGTGGGGTAGGCATGTCGTATCATGTAGGGAAAAATGAACGAACGAACAAACAATGGATGACAGGAAGCAGAATCCCGGGAGAAGAAGGGACCTCAGACTCAAAATGATAACGAGGAGGAGGTCGAAGAGTCGACGAGAAGAAGTGGCTGTTCTGTACTAATTATCCTACTACAGAGAGCAGAGAGGCCCGGGAATTTGGGAAATGTTTAGTTTACAGAATGCCCAGCCAAGCTTCCAGACTAGCCCAAGCTAAGACAGTTACTTAGACAGAACGGTGAGGGAGCGACGAGCGAGTGAGGACTGAGGTTAGATCCTCCATCTCCAAATCGAACCAAAGCACAGGAGCAGCTCTGGCGTCCGGGCCGAGGGTACATGTGCGGTACCATACACCCACTTACTTGCTGGGCACTCAGAGTAAAGTTCAATAAGTAGAGCAGGTAGTAGAGCCAGCAGCAGCAAATCGCACCTGTCCCCCCCAGACCACTCTGCAAACCAATAAACATATACTCCAATTGCTATCCAGACGGCCTTCATCCCCCTTACCTTGCCTCATCGAAGTCTCACCACCACCACCCTCGGAGGAAGCGCACACCCAGCCAAATAAACCTAACCCGTTGATCCCGGTCCACCTCTGCCCTTTTTTTCCTTTTTTCCCTTCGGTTTCCTTCTTTCCCCACGTCCGCAAGGGTACTCGTTGAAAGTTCGGTGTGTTGTGCGTTACGGGTCCCTTCTGCATGTCTCAGACGTGAATGAATAATGTATTGGATGGCTTAATAGCTAGTTAGACAGCTAGCTGGCTTGGTAACGGTCTGTAACAAATCGAAGTGTTCTTTGATTTGATTTGGGGTGGTGGCCAGGGAACCAGCCAGAACCACCACTACCACCACTACCGGCCAGTAACCACAGGGGGATCGAATCTCTATACTACCTACCCTAAAGTTATCTAAGGCTGTCCTAGCGGTGGATGGCTAAATTCGAAACAGGAATGGAGAGAGTGTGGGGCAAAGGCAGCTTCCGCGCTGCATAGGCTTTCCCGCAAAATAAAATGGTACATACAGGTGTAACAGCCTACATTTTCTAGAGTACCGCCGATTCGAATATTTTGGTACAGCAGCAGCCATCAGCCATCGCTACCAGTTGGCTGCATAAGATGCACATCTGGGAAAATAAAAAGTCACATGGATATCTCGGAAATAAATCACACATAATGATAAAGAGGAATGGATGGGATGGGAAAAGAAAAAAAAAAACGAACTACAATGAGATGAACATAAAAATAGTCATTGGCTAAAGATACAGGTATGTTGATATAATAGAGAGATAGCGATAGTGACATGTAATTACAATGGAGGAGCCCTTTAATTCCCCCTAAATCGACCTTCCATCCCAACTACCAGCCCTTTTGTTTTTTTCGTTCATAGAGACGGCCATCTTCTCCTCAAGATCTTTATAACCCCCAACCCCTCCTCCGCTAATCCAGATGTCCCATTGATAAATCACGAGTAGCCGAAAGAACACCCGCGATCGTTCTTGAGCATTGAGCGTCCTTCATCTCAGCAATCATGAAATCCACCTGTCCAAAATCCGCCCCTCCGCTCGCCTCGCTGTTACTTTTATACTCTGGGAGAACGATCCAGATCAGTCACTGAGGGTCGGAAGAGTAGCCAAAAACTGGGACGAAAAGAAAAAAAAATTGTGCACCGAGACAAATTCTTCCGACATCCATCGATTTTCCTTCCAGCTCCTACAACTCAATACAGAAACATACGCACCCCCAACTGAGAACGCTTGAAACCATACACGCAGAGACACAAATAATGGTATGTAAGGAAAGTAATGAAAGGTAGAAATGGGGAAGTTACCCAGATGCTGGCGTAAATTGACCCATAAATAGAAATTTTGTGGACCCAAGGTGAAAAAAAATACAGAAACATTTAAAAGTAAGAAACAAAAAGGGAAACGAGAATGCAAAACCAACAAGACGCATAAATATTGAGAGTGAGTGTAAAAGAAAAAGGACTGGGCCTGAGGGAAACTAAAGGTGATTTATAGAAATAAATATGTCATGAGCTCGGGATCCAAAAAGCAGAACCCGATACCCTACTTGCACATAACAAGCCCCAAGTAGTACATGCATACAAGGACACAAATCACGGTAAAGCGCCTGTATATGTTTAAAGACTGCCCATTGTAGCATAAGTCCTGGGATTGAATGACCGAGTGAGAAGAAGAAAATTATTTGTGTTGACATTATTTATATCAGACCGCATTGACGCAGATTCTCTTGGATAATGATATCTGGAATATGTAAGTAAGGCTTCTTCGATTAAAGGGATACAATATATGCATACCATTAACGGCTGCCATCACGAAACGGATCTGCGTAGTATCCGTGGCACATGTGAAATGGGTATAGATTTGCTTGGTCTCTGATTGATTCAAAGACACGAAGCGATTCAGAATGTAATCGCAAGCAGCAGTATAGTCCTCGCCACCTTTGGGTTTGTGTCAGTATGTAGCTACTCCAAGTGGGAAATGATTAAGTGCGCATACCTTCGTAGTCAGAGAAGTAATTCTTCATAGGACTAATTGGGAGTTTCTCTCGGAAGCGATCAATCTTGTTCAAGAACAGGATTATACTCGTCTTGATGAACCATCTTGAGTTGCAGATTGAATCGAACAATGTCAAAGCTTCCTGCATACGGTTTACAGTCTCATCCTCGAACAGCAATTGATCGTACTCTGAGATGGCAACCAAAAACAGAATGGTTGTAACATTCTCAAAACAGTGAATCCACTTCTTACGTTCTGATCGTTGACCACCAACATCAAACATACGGTAGGTCAAGTCCCCGATAATAAAGGTGGTTTCTGTGATACCGGTTGTCTTGACACGCGATCTCAGTACATCCTGGTCAGTAGGCAGGTAGTCTGGCTGTGCGATCCTATCGATGGAGTCAAAGTAGCTAGGGTATATGTTAGCATTGGCTTGACCAGATATAAAGTTTGGGAGTGACGCGTACTATCTGGCCGAGTCGTTCAACTGGTATTCCCTTGATCGCCTGAAACATTCCTGTACACCACGGTCCGCCCACAAAGTCTTGATAGCATTGCCAACCTCTGGTGGGAGGGATTCGCCCTCGATCTGTGTCGGCTGCATGAAGATGGTCTGTACATGATACTCTGCCCGGCTATCATCAAGAGGAAGCTCTAACGTTTCCATTGCTTCCAGAATAACCCTCATTGACTGGACCGTGTTTGAGAAGATGATTTCTTTGAATGATTCACATTCATCTCGGCTATACCCACCTTCGTGGATGAGCTTCATCTGTTTCAGGATAGTTGATTTACCAGATTCTCCAGCTCCTGTAGCGCAACAAGGTTAGCATCCGGACGTGATAATTGGATACAGGAGACGCAAACCTAGAAGAAGCATCTTGATTTCATTCCGCTGCATCATCTTGTCCCTCTTCAGCTGGTTCTCAATCTCCTCATTCCTCTGCTTCCCCTCCTTCTCCTCGGTGCTCATGCCACAACCCATCTCGTCGTAAGTATCCTATTGATTGTTTCTCGGTGTATAATAATTAAACGACCTGAGGCAGGCCGATATTAAGAGCTAATTAAAGGTTGTAGGTTGATTTGATTCGCGACGATGTGGTTTGAAGGCCTGCTCTGAAAGGATAGAAACGACAAGATTAGAATAAAGATGGACGAAACCAAGAACGGGAAGCGTGTCTGCACGAAATAAAGACGAATCGATTTAAGTGGACGGACAACGGGTGGGGGGTGAGGGGGGAGAGAGAGTCGGGTGAAAAGGAGACGGATGGGAGAATAAGGAGAAACAGAAGAGAAAAAGGATGGAGGAGCGAAAGTAGAAAGGTAGTGGTTGCAAGGGGCCTCCAGGGGGTGCGCTGCTTCTGCTTGATTTCCTGATTGGGAGCAGGCTAGCTTTTCTTGGAACAATACCCGAACCCGAATAAGAGAGGAGATAGCTGTGTGTAGAGAGTAGGAATATGTGTGTAGCTTTTGAAAGACTCCAAGAAATTCCTTCGAGAAGCTTTCTTCCTGTTCACGACATCGGACACCCTCCACAAAAAATTCATCCGAATAGATGAAGCTGACATTTGATGGGTGACAGACGCGCGCGAAAACAATAGGCTAGTCAGGGATGGGGAAGGGAGGGTGTGGGAATGCTAGGGTGTGGGAGAGCATGGCTGCTGAATAATTGAGGGATTGAAGAGACAGATGATGGAGATTTAGGAGATGGGATGAAGATGTTTGCTTGAAAGAAGTGCTCACCAAAAAATGATATATACCACTACGACTGCGCTGTGGTGGTGGTGATGATGGAAACTGGCGGTGTTTTGAAAGGCTGTTAAAGGTGTTTTGGTTGTTGTTTATTGATAACAGCCAAAATTGTTATGTAAGATCAAAGGAGGGTAGTGGATGGATGGAAGGGTAGATGATGGATGGACAGATGACCGGGTCGGAATAAGAAAGAGAGTGTGATGGAACTCGGAGAGTAGAAGCGCACAACAAGGAACGAATGATAGGAAGCCGACGGATGAGGCAGGAAATATTGCCGAACCTCTTACGCGCAGAAAGTACACACACAAATACTGTTGAAAGAAGAATAAGAAGAGGCGCAATCAAAGGCGTTTCGCAGAAGCCAACAACAACTGAGAAAAACCCGTGCGACGTCCAGCGAGAACAGCAAATATGAAAGAAGGATGAAGGGGGAGAGGGAAGGAAGGGAGCTGACTGACTTGAGTGGGACTTGACTGACAGAGAGAAAGGTCACGAAGAAAACCCGAGAAGAAGAAGCAAGAGGCTGAGGGGGAAGGGGGGAGTATTAGGAAGGGAATTGAGTTCAATTCAGAAGGGTCGTCGCGGTTTGTTCCTGTAAGCGGTTCGCCTCTCTGATTTTGGCGTTGCTTAGCTCGCTCACTGAGAATTAGGAACAGACTATTCGGGGAGAGTGGAGAAGAAACGACGGGGAGTGAAGATAGTTCGTTCGGTTCTGGTCGTCTCGGCGTCCCTGGCTGCCCTGTAGAACGCACTAAGATGGGGATAGCTCTTCGCACGGGATCTTGCAAAATGCACGAGTGGCGGGGAGGGACGAAGACGATGATCGCAAATTGCTGCTCGGCAACTTCTGCACTACTAAATAAGTACTACAATGTCCAAATATTCTTTTTACGGTACCGGCTAGAGGGAGAAACACGCAGTTCATTGATTACATGTGGACGAGACTAGGTAATGTACGATTCTAAATTCTATTCAACCTGATAGTATAATAATATGCGTGTACAGTACCGTAGCTTTGTATCCTCTGAGTCCTGAATGCCTCACTCACAGAAAGACAAGACAAGAAGTCATCTCTTTTTTCCCTACAGCCCCCTTACCCTACGTAGAGGTAGAGTACCAAATACCCCATGTACCCATGTACCTATTGTTCCTACCCTACCCCAAGCCAGGATCGCTTCAAACGAGAATGAACGTCAGATGTCTTACTTACACGCTGATGCTAATGTTCCGCAATTGAGCCCTTGTTCTTATTTACTTTCTCTCTCTAGTAAATGCAATTTCAGCCTTGGCCATTGTACTCTAGATCAGTTACCTTCTCTAGTAAACAGGTACAAAGTAAACCCGCCAGCTCGTATAAAAAGGGGGTATGGAGGGTTACGCCCGCGCACATCATATTGCACAAGATACAGATACATACTAAACATCCTGACATGATACAGGGGTAAGGCCTGTCGTGGCGTTTTGAACAATCTGCCGAGCTTCTTCGTGAGGGCAAACAGTTGAATTGAAGTCGTTCTTTGAGGCTTCGAGTGGCTTGAGCCCCCTCCTCGCAACCCCAAACCCACACACCACGCGGGCTGGGGCGGTTGTACCTACATGTTGCTAGGACGTCTAAATGCTACGGCACTACGATCCGGCTATATCGTGGGCTTGGGCCCCTTAAATTTTGTGATGATTCTGAAATGGGACCGTTCAAAATCATTGTCAGGTTGGAAACAGATGAGGGCAAGTTTTCTGTTGAGTTGAAACACAATGCCCATTACTCTACTTCCACGTTACTGATCTTCTTCATGTAAACCCCTTCTCCTCCATCATGCCATCGTCTTTTTATTCCTCTCTTCCTCCTTCTCGAAACGGTTTTTCCCCCTCCATCTCGGAACGTTTTATAGCGCAACAGGACCACGAGGAAACATTCTGTGCATAATAATGTCGTATCTAAAACTTTCACGGAGTACTGCTTCGAAAAAGGCAGCCTTGAAGCAGCCCTTGACGCAACAAACACGGGATCCACACCTACTTTTGATGCATGCATCCGGTCTCGCTTCCGGTTATTCCAGTACCGGTAATCTTAGGCCCGTCACCAACTAAAATTCAACACGAAAAACCCCGTTTTTTCCCCTACTTTTAGTCAGATCGAAGTCACTTTGGCTTCTATTTCCCTTCTTTCATGTCTTCTTTTAGGGCAACAGATGTCTCAAGTGTCTTGTTGGGTAAGCATCTACCTCCTACATATTCTACAACGAATTGAATGGGATGTAGTTCTTCGTAAATTTGATCTTATGCGTGTTTATATTGTACATGAAGTATCTAGCCCTTTGTTGATGGTACATGTAGCCCTTACCAATCGCAACTGGTTCCGAGAATTTCTGCTAGCGACTCTAGGGCCTTTTTGTCCTCCTCGTCAAACGCTTTAGGGACTGTGGAGTCAACGTCGATAACTGCGACGACCTGTGTCCCTCCCTTTGTTAGCTCATTTTATTTCCGAACCCACAACCACCACTACCACAGCAACCACCACACACCCCTTCACCCTCCAGGGTTCCGGCATCACCACCGATCCCTCAAGGGTTCATCACTCCAAATGCCACGAGGGCGAACAGGTACAGCTAAACCTAATGTTGTGCTAGTATAGGGGGCAAGAGAAGCACGTAAGTTTAAGATGATGCTCTCACCTTTCCACCAACCCGTATGGGCACGACTATTTCACTTCTTGAGTCTCCATCACAAGCGATATGATCTGGGAACGAGTGCACATCCTTCCAGGAAAAGAATCAAAAGTGATCGACCCGTTAGTGAGAGGGCCACGTTTTCTAATGTCAATGTGTAGGTATGTGCAAAGAAAGTGTAATGAAGCCACCAACCTCAATGACTTGCGTCTCAGCGGTTTCCGCTGCCTTGCCACAAACCCCACGGCCGAATTTGATAGTCTGACAGGCAACCTAGCGGTTTATCACAAATATTAGTTGGATATTTCATGTCCGCCATGCAGGTACAAAAGAAAAGAAAATGCCACAACGAAACGGCAAACTCCACATGGACCGAAACCTACCCATCTGCCCGGGGAAAAGGAGAAAGGCAGTCTTCCAATAATAACATGCCATGGCTCATGGTTACATATGGTCATGGCCATATGGGCTATGGGGGAGCTCGGAGTATCTCGAAACTGTCAAAATCCCATCCCAGGATAAAGGGATGGGGATTGTATGACGATATCCGCAGCAAAGATAATATAAAGAAAATTATATTCTGCACATACCTTTCCCATGAATGGGCCGAGTATCAACTGTTTTGGAGTTGTCGGATCAAGGACGTAGAACCCTTCCAGAACGCGTGTCAGACCTTCTATTGAATTGCCTAATCCGGCCCCGCAACAACAACAACAACTTGCCCTGACCTGCCCTGCCCTGCAGCTTCCGGGGATTGGGTTCCTCTTTTGCCTTACCTGCCCAATTTGCATGGTTTGATGGCTCTGGCATCGAATGTAACGCATGCCAGATAAGAGAAGCCGAATTGGCGAGGTTGCTTTGAAGCGAAGTCATAATCAGCATCGCACGATGTACCTAGTGCCTATAGGTACAGTTTTCTTTCTTTCTCTTAAGAAAGAGGGGGCTCGAGTTTCTGCATACATACCAGACCTTGATGGAGAAGTAGACCCACTGTCAGGTCTTCTGCACTGCCTGATCCTCATATCATCATCAGGTCGAGGGGAGAAGGCTACATACCCAGTTTCGTTGTCCGTCAAACAGCGCCGAGGCCTGCTCGATGACTTGAGCATACGCCTCTGCTTTTGAAACGCCTCTCGAGAAATTCGATGCATCGGCGTGGACCTGTGTGGCGAGTTCTGTCAGTCAGCCAATCCAGACTTGTGCGACAATAACTCTAATTGAACGAAACCCGAACCATTCTTGCGGCGTCCGCGGTAAATAGTGGTAGATATTGTTTGGGGCGAATAAGTTTGGTTGGTTGGAGGAGAGATGTCCGGACCTCAGAGATGGCGATTTCAATGCTGACCCCAGACAACTCAAAAAAAAAAAAAAAAACGAAATCGTGCTTATAAATTTCACAATAGACGTTTGGACCCAGAAAAGAAGTTGGGTATCCGGCAAAATGATGTATGTTATCGTACCTAAACCCCCCCAAAAATAAAATAAAAACCCGTCGCGATTACCAGCAAAAAATCTAACTAAGCTAACTAATTACGCCTGAGCATTAAGCTAAAAAAAAAAAGGTATATTGTGATATTCATAGCTCATAGCCCTTATTTCATATTGATTTTGGGGCTGTATCCGTGGGTTCTAGCTAGTCTAGGTACCGTTTGAACCAATTAACTGCCTGGTCCTGGGAGTTCTCCATATTCTCTCTCTGAGCCTGGATCTCAATATTTCCCCTCAGAGCAAAGCCTAGTGCTCGTGACGTGTTAAAATATGTCCCTCATTTAATCTTTATCTCGGTTCGTTCCCGAAGAGCTCGAAGGGGGGAGGAATGCGGAGGGGTCAACTCACCATGTTTGGCGCCGTCATAAGTAACAACCTCGCTCTTAAGCATCTTCTGCTTTCCGAGAATCTCTATGATTTTCTCGACGTCTTTCATCGGGAGACGTTCGTCCTCCTCAGCCATCGCAAAACTCACAGGCTTCGCAATGAGCTCTATCTCCTTTGGAATTGCGAGCAGAGCTATTTCGAAATGCACGTATGATTAGCTGCTGCTGCAGAGTATCCACACCGATTTCCGTTCACGGGTGCCAGTTTTTATATGTTACTTGCGGTGAAAATGGAAGACTCACATGGATGTGCCGAAAACAAAGCATCAATAAGCCCACCTTCTCTATAACTCCCATCACTCAAAAACCATTTCTCCCTTTGGGCGAGCAAGCAAGCATATCTTCCTCCCCAACAAAAACCAGAGACAAAAACCTTGCGGGTAGTGTTCTCTTTGTGGATTGCTTCAAAGAAACCGTTGATTATCTTCCATGAAACGGCCTCCCGATGGCGAAACATCCAAGCTCCAAGCTTTCCTAGAGTTTTACTAGTAGTCCATCAATAAAGTGCTTTCCAACTGGATACGTGAAATGAGAGTGGGGTAGTAGGTATAATAATACGTACACTTTTGCTGTCATAGTCGGGACTGTACCATCAACGGGTGATAAGACCTGCATATTCTCTACTGGAAATGAATCGCCTGCAGTAGTGCACTCATGTCAATCCTGTCACTTCCCCCACAGTTCAACGTGTAGCTAGCAAAGTTTTTAAAAATATGGTGACAGGAGTGGCATGTGACTAACCAGACATGAAGTCAGGGACATAAACCGACAAGCCAGTCTTCCTAGCGTATACATCGGCTAATAGACGAGTGTTTACCAAAAGCCAGCCAAATACGTCTGGTATTATTACAATGACTCCCTTTGAGGAGTCTCCAGACGCGACATAGGTATCGAGACCGTGGATAACGGTTTCAGTGCCATTTGGCGAATCATTTTGGAGAGTACCTGCAGGGCGTCAGTCAGCGGCAGTGCCACTAAGCTTGAATTAGTTGAAGAGGGCCTGGATCTATTCACCTTGGACGCAACAGGCAGAAGTCATGATTCTTTCTTGATTATCGTTAGTTAACTGAAAAAGCTTGTATTAGGGATGGCAGTGGAAAGTTTCTAAGAAGGTCGTTTGTTTCTGCGAGGGTCATCTGCGGGATGGGGCTCTCATGATATCGCCCGGCACGACCTAGGGCTGACGCACACTACCGTGGTTGGTATCCGGCCATGTAAGCCAGGAGTCTAGGACACCTAGCTCGGGGCTATCGGGCTTTGTACCATCTAACAAGCACTGGTCAATAATTTTATTATCATAAGCCTAAGCTCCAGAGATCTGTTTATCATTTGGGTCGCTGCTAGACTGGTTTTATCAACGGTGAGTGAGCGATACACATCATGTAAAACTACATGTAATGAGTTTCTCGGAAATCTGCAGCCTCCGAACGATTGTTTAGCCAAATAAACTTAAGTAGGTACATGTATTCAATGATTTAACAACATTCGAGACGCTAACAAAGTCCCCAGGATTTGCGGGGTGTGGTCGAAACGCGATGGGGAGCAAGGTATCGTTTCATCTTCCAATTTACTGTTGATAGGGATAGTTCCTACGAGGGACGGGAAAGGCGCCGAGTCTCGCCTTTTCTTTTTCCTTGACAGATCCACGTTTTCGTCGCCTCGGAGAATATCAACCCCAACTTAGACTAACTCCAATATATGCGAGCTCAATTAAGTGATTGCTCGCGAACAGGGGTGATGGATAGATAGGTAGTCAAATGGTGCCTGAATTCGACGGACAACCCAGCCAGGTAGCAACAGTTTGATATAAAGCAGAGCAGGCCATATACCACCCGTGTTGGCCTTACCTCTACTTTATCTTTTCTTATGAAGAAAAGATAGTAACGGGTCACTCTGTCGATACTGCTTCGCATCACACTCCAGCATGAACGTAGCAGCCGCTCGAGAATTCTTACTCCCGTTTATGCACTTTCCTGCACGGTGTTACACCTAGGTGCCCTGCGTGTCAGCTTTGATCGATCATGTAGTTGTGTGATATGGGGTGGAGATTTATACAAACCTTACGATAAATCAGGATACCTATCCTAGTATGCATATTTTCCAAGTGAATAGAAGGACCCTTAGTGTTTCATCTAGACTCAGGTTTCCAATTGATGATGAGCTTAATACAACATCATTGCGATAGTCTTCGGGTAATAATCCTGTACAGAATAGAATGCAAGATCCAATTGTGGTTACATTTGAGTATGAGGGACTTGCAGCTTGGGCTTTGGTAATATCTAATATCAGTAAGATATTAGCAATATAGAAATCCTCGCACAAATCGTAAACACGGGATGGGCACTATGAGGCTCGTGACTTATCAAATCAGCCGGGAACCGCGCACGGCTTGATATAATGATGAATAATAACTGTATCTTTAAATGCTATGTAGTTATGCATAGGATCGATGTCGTCTCCCGCAGTGTAGTGCATCATGAAAAGTCATGTGACTCATGGATTATCACCCGATTTATGACAATTCAGGGATTTGGTTATTTTAAAAAGACTAAGCCTTCGGAGGCTATAGAAGATATTTCTCTTTATCAAATGTAATTGTTGGATAGTTTATCCTTTGAGGGACAGTTATGCTATTCTTTGCTTATAAATTTTCTGTGACTCTCTAAAAGAGTATATATGTATGCGCCACGCGTGTATACCATTCTTGTTGACTTTGTTGAGTTTAGTGAGCCCGTGGGCCGTGTGTCGAGTTTGAAGATTGATATGCAGATGAACATTGAGCAGCTCCCGGTATATATATGGCCTTGTTTATGAGACTTTAAAGCAGATTTTTTGCTTCCACAATAGTGATGTAATATAATTCATCATTCCTCAAGTACCGGCTTATGGGAGCATTGGTCTCTCCAAATTGTAATTTTCCAATACCACCCGGGCGGGTAAAACACATTTCTCCAAGTCATGGTATTTGCAGGAGACTCCATCAACTGAAAATCCTTGTATCTGACGTGAGATCTTTAATTGGCTGCTGATGAATTGTCGGATATATGAAACGGTGCGTCCTTCTTGTGACGATGCCGTCCATCTTGCTGGTTTATTAAGCTGGTAGATAACAGCGCTGGTATATGTTCTTAACAATTATACCGAATATCCATCATCTATGATGAAGATTAGATTGTAGACGTAGAATCCACGCTTGAGATGAAGCAGGCGACCCTCACATCGGTCGCTGATGTTTGAGATGGTAGAAAACCAGATTGTAAAGCAATGCGGCGATGTTGCTGTCCACGGTGCACACGTGACTATCTATATGCCATATAAATATTTGCGGATGAAAAGCTTCAAAGGAGATCAAGCTCGGAATGAGATATCGAGAGGAACGGTGGCTTTATATAACTCAATTCAATGCGCACCCAAGCTGGTTATTTTCGCAAAAGTTGAAAAGAAAGGCGCTGGCCTCGTCTAAGGCACCGGTAGCCTTGCAATGAAGTGTGGTTTGCACAACTATTGTCGGCATCCTGTCGCGCGCGCTTCGATTACAATCCGCACTAGCTAGCGCCTGCTTCAGCGTTCTGCATAACCCGCTTCTCCAAACAATTTTCCAGTGCATGAAAGAACGTACCACAGAGCTATGTAGCGGTCAGAAATTTATAATGTTTAGTGATGTGGGGTGCACCTCACCTTGAGTTGTGGTCCAAGGCTTGTAAGTAAAGATCGTTGACTCACTGTGAGGTACGCACCTGCTTGTAGATGAGCACATAACCTAAGGTACCTGTCTCAATCTTACGCGCGTCGAAGGGTGACAATCCGTGGACTCCTCTTCAGCCCGGTGCTAGAGAACTCAATACATCATTTTTGTCTTTCAATTAATCTATAAAGGACCAATCACAGGCTTCAGGCGTCATCAACATATATGCGTGCGCACTGTACTAGCTCAAGCTATACTGATCATGAAATTCATGAAAGAGTTTGGTTGAGGGTGTGTTTGTTCCTGTTAGGTTTTCACAGAAGATGGGTCATTTGATACCACAAACAGCTGCGGTGAAGACACAAATAATGTGTTGCTAGTGCTACACTGATAGACCAGCTGCTGGAGTGCTCTGTTCCAGTTGCGAGCACACTCCAGTCATGGAGGTCCCTCAGCGTGGTACGATCGAACATGATTCGCGAGGCACTTTAAGGAGGAAGGGTGTATCGAGTTGCCTCTGACTCGTGTGGGGTTGCCCCGGATTATCATATGCCTCGATGTTCCTCAATGTTTGACAACCTTTTTGAAAACTTCAATCAGGGAAGTATGTTATATCGAGTCTTATCGGCTCCGAGTTCGAGTTCGTGGGGGGTCATTTCTTGGGCTACCTCAAGACGACACAAGTGGTACCTCTGCTTCGTGGACCACATTGATATTATCATTGGTGTCAGTTCAAAATATAATTTCATATTAGAGGGTTCACCACTACTACTACACCCGTAAAGTACGTCCAGATCTAACGTTTCTCCTCTGAGCTTGACATCCCATCCCAACAAGTTATAAAGAGAAACCACAATTCCAAATATTTATATTTCCATTATAACAACACCCGGTTTTGGGTATTACATTACATTCGAGTACTTGGCACTGACTTTATCAAGGACTTGCAACTGCCGAATGTATATTATAATGCAACATTTGAAACCGAAACTTTGCCACGAGAACTAGTGCTAGGTGTAACTGTGGATGATACGGGGATTAAGCGAAGAATAAGATTCATCATTGACTCGCCGAAGCAGGCGAGAATCCCACAGACGTCGTTTGAACTGACATCTCGCCTAAGAGTCCAGAAGAGGTAAATGCTTACCTTTAATCTCGATCTCGCACTCCTTCTATTTGTTTGTGAATTTGGATGAGAATCTCTGTCTCTCACATAGCAGCTAACAAGCAGGAATAAGAGGTTCCTAGATATACAGGTAGACATGGATTTATTCCTGAATGGTACAACCCCAGGATTTGATCAGTGGACAACCCGTCGAAGATTATGCCCCTCCCCAAATTGCTGGATAAACTAAGCTATGACCACAGGTTATCACAAAGGATGCATATCAACCAGCGATAGAAACCCACTCCATTGACATGTTTCGGTGCACATTACCTCACTGAGTACACATATGTGTGTTGAAGTTTGTATTTGGAATGATCATGAGGTTGGCAGATCCTGAGCCGTCAATACGTCGACTGCAACAGCATCCCCTGACCACCTTGAGCTCGAAGGTTCTATAATGCTCTGATGTCATGGAGAAGGTTGGGGTGTACAAAGCATCTATGTATAGCTTCAATTCCTGTGGGTGGTAAAAGTGTATTTCTCGTTCCTAGGCCTTATCTTTGCCATTCAAAAGAAAGTGTAAGTTTGTGCCGCTTAAAGCTAATGACCATATCTCAAGAGCTTCGTCCTCGTATCTCCTAGCCCCAAGTTCGGTTCTTCCACGCACTTCCACTCAAGGACGGTCAAACAGCTAGCGGAAGGACGTTTGCCAAATAGGAAGAGGGGTTCGAATCCCCACGAAACATGTTTTTTTCCTTCCTTTTCTTTTTCTTCGTTTTTTTTTTTTTTTAAGCTGTGGGCCAGGTAGAGATAAAGCATAAGAGCGAGAAGCTATAACCGCAATAAGGGGTAAATATAGGGAATAAGGAAAGAGAGGTAAATTTGTCTTGATCATACGTACCTCACTAACCCCAGTCCCTAATACAGCTCTGATGTCTCTTTATAGCTAAGGAGCTGATGAAACACGACTTATCCGCTCTTGAGATAAACTAAGTAGCACCCGTAGCAATTGAGATCCCCCAAGCACTGTCCAAGCTTGGTTCCATCTAGATCTCTTCAAGTGTAAGGGCCTCCTGCGGTGATAGCTGGAAAAGTGGCATTGGTACAGGTGGGGGATACACGTATCCAATATCTACCCCACTTCACTCGCTCTACACAGAACACAAATGTAGCGTTACAAATAGATACAACATGCCATCATGTACACAGCACAGAGCCAGCAGCCCAATGATATAGCTCATGCGGGCATCATCATCGTATCCTGATCCTGAACGATAACATAGGCATGCAATTAAGTGTACATACTACACGCCCATCGACAAAGAACGTTTCCTAATCCCAGACAGAACCCCGCCTATCTGCCGTTCTCCCCCCCGGGGGGGGGGGGGGGGTATGTACCTACCGCTTGTGCACCTGCAATTGGGGAGGGACGACAAATAGCTAGCAGGTTTGTGTGTGTGCATGTGAACTTCGATTGTTGGATGGAATCTATCTACGTTCTGGAAGTATATGTATATGCATGGGCCTGCATAGCCGTACATAGTTTCAATAAACCTCACGGAAAATACGAGAAGGATGGAAGGTAGTAATGAGACGCTAGTAGTCTGTATTCTGTATCTACTCCCCCAGAATAAAGATAGGAAAAGCGAAGCGTAGGAGAAAAGAATACGAGATGTTCTACTGCCTATGAGACATTATCCAGTACTCCCCCCTACTACATAGAACGCTCTACAACTGATTACAACCCCTCCATCGTATCGATCACCATGTTTCCACGTACCAGCTAAAACTCATCAACCCCTCTAGACTGTCCCCGAGCACAGGAGCGAGTACATGAGCCGGCATTCCTCAACCGGCTAGGCATGCGAGAAACTTAAATTTCGTGTACATCCGCTAGACCACTTGACCACAATCTCGCTAGCGGCGAAGCTAAAGGCGGCAGACTGAGACCTTCCTTTTGTTTTTGGTTCATTGTTTCTTAACGCCGAGACTAATCACAAATTATCACTCGGCGTTATCTAGTCGACTCATTGGCTACACGAGACTCACTCGGCCATAGACGAAAGCTAAAACGTTTCATAATCTTCACGTTCACATGTCGTAATTGCGCAGACTGCAATCTATTCTCTGTTGCCCCCCCCCCCCCCCCTTTTCCCCGCTGCCCCCTCCAGATTTTCTAAAGAACAAAACGTCAAAACCAAAAACAAGATAGCCACCACAGCCAGATATAATAAACGAAATAGCAAAAAGTCAGATTAACACCTTGAAGAAAAAAGAGAAGGAAAGAGAAGGAAAGAGAGAGAAAAGAGAAAACACCATTTGCTCCAAAACGATCCCGTGGTAAAAAACAGAAAAAAGAAGGCAAGAATATACAATAATAAAGAAAAACAAAAACAAGAGGAGAGATAGGTTCTACTGTTTCTTCTACAGAAGCCATTTCAAAAATAAAAAACCCAAAATATTAGCTATAAACCATCCACCCAACGTGAAACACTTGATATAAAAAACCGAGAGAAAAAAAAGAAAGTAACTGATCAAGAATGACACAAACCCCCCGCATCATCCGCAGCACTCCACGCCCCCGCCAGCCCCACAAACCCCGGATTCAGATCCTCAAACTCATTCACATTACAGCTCCTCGCAAAGTCGGTCGGCGTCCTCGCCACCCTCTGCGGCCTCTTCCCAGCCGTCGTCGACGGCGCCAGCGACGGCGCCGTTCCAATCGCCGGCTCCGTCGTCTCGTCCCTCGCCTGCTTCAAGAACGGGATCAACTGCGTTCCGCCCGTGCCTCTCAGGCCCTTCCGCGAGGCCTCGTCCTTAGCTAGCCCCTGGCGAGGCTCGTCCAGTGCCATTCCCTGCGGGAGGCGCTGCTTGTTGTTGGTGCCGGTGGAGGAGGCGGCGAGCGCGGCGATGCGCTTCTTCTCGGCGGAGGAGGGCAGGATGATGTAGCGCGTCACCATCTGCACGTGGATGGTGCGGAAGTGGGCGAGTGCGCGGAGGGCGTTGTTGTATGCGGCGGTGAGGGCGAGGTTGTCGGCGTGTGCGTTGGCGTAGTCTTTGATGTTTGCAACGGTGGTGAGGTGCTCGAGGAAGCGGCGGTGCGAGCCAGGCATGTAGGAGCGCATATTCTGGGAAGTGTTAGCACTCATCCTATCCCACAATGTATATATCTCCAAAAAAAGAAAAATATGAGAGTACAAACCTGGATAAAGTTATTCTGCGCCGGTGGCGCCGTCCCCTGCAGCTGCCCCGCACTCGGATTCTTCCTCTCCCCCGTCTGGCGATGCTCCACGCCCAAAATGATATCAAACGTTTGAATCAGCGAGCTCTGCGCATTACTCCCCCCCGAGTACTTCTGCCAGCTCTTATTCCCCGCGCGGTCCTCATAGCTGACGCCCCTCGGCAGCCCCGACTCCTCCATATTCTTACTCCCGGCCAAGAACGGGCGGATCTGGAAGTAAAACACGTTCGGGTGGCAGCCCTCATCCATGCGGTCGAGCAGCTCGCCGAGGTCCGTGATGTGGTCGGCAAACATGGTGAGCGCCCTGATGACTGTGTCGGCGTCGTTCTCGCGGGCGGCGGCGATGGCGCGGAGCATGATGGGGATGCTGGCGGCGCCGCGGGCTTCGATGGCGACGGAGATGAGGTAGAACCAGGACTCGTCGTGGGTGCCGGTGAAGGTGGTGATGGTGCGGAGGTTGCTGAGGAGGTCTTTGCGCTGGTGTGGGTTGAGACTGTGGTAGTTCCAGAGACAGACGGTGGCGTAGGTGGCCACCGGGGGGATCTCGAAGTGGTCGGAGAGCTCGAGGAGGGGTGCAGAGATGGTGGCTGGGAGGCACTGTGGGGGAGAATGTCAGTAAGATAGTTCACTCATAATAGTAATGATAACAATAATTATAGTAACTATCTGAAGGGGGGAATTACTTCAGCAGGCTCGTCCCCAGCCCACACATACGCATGTGTCAAAAACCCCAACACAACATACGCCCTTCTCCTCTCCCCCTCGCCCACCAGACGGTACAGATCCAGCATTGGGAGGGCATCAATCACGCCCCGGACCGTCTTTGTGCGAATAAGCTGTGGCAAATTGTCTGCGACCTTCTCCCAGGGCTCATAGTAGAGCGACGAGATACGCTCCACGGGGTCGACATTGGGCAGGAAGCCAAAATTGGACGAGAGCCCGTACTCCTGCAGGGTTGGGATGGGTGGGATCATATTGAGTGATGGGTTGTGGCCGAGTGATGGGTTGTGGTGGTGGCGTTAGATGATGATGCCGGGAGATTGATAAGATAACAAGCAGCAGCTGCAGCAGCAGGGGTCGGCAGGTAGGCAGGCAGGTAGACAAGAGCAACCAGACCAGTCCAGTCCAAAAGAGAGAGAAAGAATTTTTTTTATGGGGCGAGGGTGGAGAGGTGGGTTATAAGTATATTTTTTTTCTTTAGAGAGGCGAGACGTAATAGTAATAAGGAGGCTACACCCGCGGCCCTGGCTGGGTGTTGTCTAACGGGCGGATTCAACCGGTAATGGAGTTATGTCTCGGGCACACGCGGAGGACAGGAATAGTGCTCTAGATGTAGACGGATGATGCTCGTGTGCAGCAGCAGCCAGTGATATGGGATTATGTATGTTGGTTAAGTCTGCATGCGATGATAATGCTGAAGCGAAGAAGCAGCAGGAGGGGGAGGGCGGTATATGTAGTAGGTACTTGTTGTATGCAAGAGAAATAATACTACGTAGCTGCTGGTACTTCTCACTGACAAATAACTGTGTGGGGGGGTTTGAGTTGAGGGAGGGAGGTCGAGTGGAGGAGAAGAGTGGAGAGGAAGGAGGCGGAGAGAAAGGAGGAGAGCGTAATACGATATCTACATATACTTTTTTATCTTCCCGGCCCCAACATGTCATGACGGAGAGATTTTTTTTTCTCACAGGTTAACGTTGTTAGCTAGCGCGAATGCTGAGAAATCTCTCCCCCTCGATCTTGCCCCCGGGAATAAGAGTGCCGCCGCCGCAACAGTCAGCCATCTAGAAACAAAACGGCCCGCTGCCGATGGAGGGGTGAATGGTGGGATGGAAGGGTTATGATGTGCTATGGAGGGGTGAATGGTGGGATGGAAGGGTTATGATGTGCTATGGAGGGGGGTAAAGCAGAGCTGTTAGAGATACCTTGGTGGCTCATTCCAGTTTTTTTGCCTCTCCGATTCCCGGGGTTGGGTGGATTGGCTAGCTAGCAATGGTGGGTTGGTTTCTGGAGATCATTGGCCTTCTACAGCATCATCACCATCATCATCTCTGGAGGCATGTAAGGTAAATACTTGGTATTCTACATGTGGAGATACGCACGGTACGCAAAGAGATGTAGCTATGTACTCACGCCGTTCTGTGGGATCATGAGTCGTGCATTGCCGCCTGCGATATACCAATACCCATACCAAACCCAATCACTCACGATGACACCTGACGATCCATCCATCCCCGGAAGAATAAATCAAACGGCGATATTCCAGGCGTTCCAGGCCTCCGTAATGCCTGTTGGCTCGTTCGTGATGCTTGATTCCTGGCCTGCATGTTCGGCAATGCATCACTAAAAACAGCGCTGCACTGCACGTGAGCCTCCAACAACAAAGACCCCAAGAGCATCCCCCGGTTAGAAGCGGAGGGGTCCTGAGCGTATGTTTGTTCGTCCCTTCGATACGATCACGGTGAGGTTAATCTTGGTCTTCTGTTAATTTGAAATTATGAAGTAATGCATGTAGTGCTGCAGCGGTGGTACATCTCTCGCTACCTCAAGTACATACTTTTTGGGTGTGTCGTGTGTCGTGAGTCTGTGTCTTGCTCTCGACTCTACTATCTTGTTTAGCTCATCACACAGCTCTTCTAACTGGCTAGCCTCTTCTCCCGAGGTGCGTTATTAAACACTCTTCCTACATTCTCCTCCACTCCACCACCTCCTCCTCCTAGCTCTACCACCACCACCACCACCACCACCACCACCTCCACCTCCTCCTCTCCTCAAGTTAATTGCCTCAATCCAATCCAATTCATAATCCTCCGACTCAATTCATCCGTAGAAACATGGGGAAACCTTCAGATGGCACCCTTATGTACGTACCCATACATCCTACCTCACCTGCCTGCCTGTCCTGCCTGCATACATGTATGTACATGATCCAATGGCCCGTGAGATGCGTAGCGTAGCCACATGTAGCCCTTTCGTTTCGTTTCGTTCTCGCTGCATCGACCCAGAAAACTCGTACGACAGAAGGCCTACTCGCTAGCTCGGAACCGAACCGCCGGGATGCTCCAACGAAACATTTTACCCGCCCTGTGACTGACTAAACTGAACTGACTGACTAGATGACTGTCTCTATCTATCCAGGAAGGAATGAAGCTTGGATAGATAAACCATATACTAACTCTTCTCCCAAATATTACCGTATAACAAGTACTACTAGCTACTCAATCACGATCTCTACCCTCTGCTCTACCCTCAACTCTCTGCAGAAAAAAGAACAAAGTAGAAACAATTAAATTTAAACATACCCCCATGGCAGCATGATAATCGATCTACGACCTCTCATCGACGATCACACCTACCTGCCTACTGCCCTGCGCCCTGTCTACCGAAAATTTCACCCCTCCACCCCCGCCGCACCTGTAGAGTATGTGGGGGCATGTTGTCCGGTACCTACACTTTAGAGCAAGGCGGCGGCTATCTCCCACAGGCATGGCAGGCACTGGGACCTGAGGATCACATCGCGTAGCTACATCTACATATTATATACATACCTCCACATCTCCGGCCGTTGGATTCAAGTCAATTCACCCTATCTACCCCATTCTCTCCTTCCCCTTCCCCTTCGACCCTTTCCACCGTTCTCCCCCACCGTAGAGTAGAGTAAGCTTAGAGGCACAAACCACAACACAATACCACGAACCAGGCCAGCACCAACGCCGCCGGTAGATGGGCGGCGTCGATCCTTTATGCCACCACCACCACCTCCTCCTCCTTCCAGGGTGCTATGCAGAAGATATGGCAGATGGTGAATTACTCTAGATGTAGAGTGCATATCGCGGATTATGGATAGAGTGCAATGCATATGCCGCATTTGCACCTCTGCAGATGTCGCTCGCTATCCTTATGCATTGCTTTTTTTCACCCGAAAGTTTTTTTTTCTACAGGCATAGTGGGGGGTGTGAGGGGAGGTCAATGATCGTCCCATATCTGTTTCAAACCCGGGATATTGCACTCTACCCATCCATCCTCCTTCGCCCCCATACATCCTACCCATCCGGCCTCATACTCCTACGTCCTCTTACTCCTACTCCTCATCCTCAATGGCCGAGGAAACGCCGAGGCAAAGGAGAAACGTAGAAGCAGAAGAAGAGGAAGCAGAGGAAGAAAGAGTGTTTTGATCCCCGGTCCTGCCCTGCCTGTTACACTGGCGAAGCACCACTCTACATGTCACATCCAGGGTCTACTCTACATCCAGAATAGACCGGGATGGGAAGGGATGGGACGAGTGACAAAAAATTTCTCATCTGTTTCTATGACCGGGTGCTATCGCAATGCCTGACAAATCTCGGCCCGATCTATGGGATGAATCAGGCCGCACGCGGGATTGGCTTATCGTGGGGTAGTCTGTAGACTTGTAAGCGGGTATGGATGCCGATGGGGGGCTTTTGGATTCGTTCAATCAGGTGCGCTCTACGACAGCCACGGCAGGGGATTGCAAGTGTGGTGATGGTGAGCAGTGAGCACGCGATATGGGATGAGAGAGGGTTAGGTTTTGTACCTACTCGTGCCGTCGGGTTTGCAATGGTGGCTTATGTATGTCCGCCAGCGAATTTGGGGGTGTGAGGAAACCCTTGCTTGCTCTTTGCCCTTTGGCCCAGATCTTGTACTCCTAGATGTGTGTGCTTTTAGACAATAGTAGAAATTTTTTGGCCTGCTTTTTATATACTTTATCTACCCAGATTCGCCAACAAACGCCGGATCGAAAATAGCGATTAACTACAAGAAGGGAAACACAGAAAAAAAGAAGAAAAAAGAAGAAAAAAAGAAGAGAAAGGAAAACCGCGACTACTCTATCTAAAGCTATGCTTTCTCCTCCGAAGCAGCGGCATCAGCAGCAGCATCAGCAGCCTTCTTCTGCGACTTCTCCCACTTCTCGACTCTTCGCTTGATATCCCCCGCGCTCTGCTGAAACGGGTTCAACTTCCTGTCCCAGACCATCTTGCTATAGTCCTTCCCATACTTCTGCACCAGGGCCTCTACCCACTCCTTCTCCCTCCCAGTCTGGTTCCTCTCGCGCCTAACCACAACCGCAGCCTGCGCCTCAAGCTGCTTAACAATATCGGTCCGCGTGTCCTCGATACCCATAAACTCCTCTTCCTCCTCCTCGTCGTCGTTCAGAGCTTCCTCGGCGCTCTTGCCATACACAATGTTGACGACGTTGCCGTCCTCGTCGCGCTCAATCAAGGCTTCGCCCGGTGCGAGCTTGGGCTTGCTAGAGGCCGGCGCTGTGGCACCAGCAGCTTTCTGGGCGGCGGCGGCGGCAGCAATGGCGAGCGAGGTTTCTTGACCGCCGGCGCGGCCATTGAGGCGTGAGACGAGCCCGAGACGCTTGTAGTTCTGGGCGAGGGTTTGCTTCTTGTCCCTGTGTTTTGCCTATTAGTTTATAATTAAATCCAGGGATATGGAATTTGCTCCTTCTCGGAGGTGGTGGGACGTACCAGTTCTGTGCAATCAGGGCATTGCCGAGTGGGCGGACTTTGTGCACGCGCGGGTTCTTGCGCTTGGTCTGCTTGGGGATGGAGGATCTGTTCTTCTTCTTTTGGAGTTCGCGGCCCATTTTTGCTGTAGTTTTTTTGGGGGGGGGGTTTGTAAGTGGTGATAGTGGTGATAGTGGGATGGTGAGTTTGGTGAAAAAAATGAAGCTGGGGTGTGGTGCCAAGCATTTGCCGCCAAGGCTCATGGATAGAGTACGGATTCCTGACTAAACTAGACTTGCAGAATTGAGGCTGTTGGTTGAGAAGTGTTTTAATTTGGGGCGTTTGGTGGAAGGGTTATTAGTTGGACCTAGTTAGGAATTTGAGGTTAACTAGCTGTAGTTGTATGCCGGAGCCTATCGGAGATTTTCTATAATGGATCATAGTGGATGATTTGTGATGCGAGTGCTGAGCCATGATGGAAATAAAAGTTGCGAGTACATGTTGCCGCATATATGCTCTCACGCACGTGGGGATAGAGGTTCGAGTAGAGAAACAAGAAGTTCGCATTGATGGATGACGATAATAGACCGATTTGTGATGGTCATAGGCGTTCTCAATACGTCTTGAAGTCATCGATCTAGATCTATGCATTGCTCGATCAACAGTAGGAAGACGTAATGGGATGGATGATTCTATTACGAAGGAGGAAAAGAGCCTATATATATCGATCTACGTATACATATAAAGGTGACACGTTTAGTTAAGCTAGACTGTGGACACCGTTACTAAGAACACCTTTATACACCAACAGTAACGAATACGTGTGAGTACACAGTTGCCATATATGTTGCATGCGCATAGCCTGCACAGAAATACGCACTTCCTATTCATTGTAAATGCAGTATTCGAATTCATCCAGGTGTCAAAGGCCTTAAACCGATATTTCTATCCCTTCCGTCGTTTTCAAGGTACGGCCGTTTTGCCCCAGGGGGAAGTGATACTACTGAACCAGGCTAATTAAAATTGTTGCAATTATCACTCTAGGTACTTCTATCACCCCTCTAGTTCTTTTCCTGCTTGGGTAGTCTATAGGGATAAGTACAAGTAGTAGCTTCTGTCCAGCTTGAGTGAGAAATATCGACATTACGATATTAAATCTTTAAACACTAAAATTGTTTCAAGAAATACTTGGAAACTGAAAAGTTGTACAAAATCTCCAGATCATCAATCGCCCTGTTGTGGCTCTCCAGGTTTTATGAGGCGCAAGAGCTGACTCTCATAAAAAAAAAAAAGGCAGATCCCACCCTGCATGCGGCTCTTCACCCCACCACACGGCAACCTCTCCTCCGACTAAGTCCTCTCACCACCAACTAAACTATCACCACTCCCCCAACCACCACCACCACGATGCCCGCAAGTGTCCCCCTCCCCTCTAACCACACTAGACACCACTAACCCCTCCCCCTGCAGCTAATAATCCTCTCCGGCTATCCCTGCTCCGGCAAGACCCAGCGCGCCCACCAAATCCACGCCCACTTCACCACCAAGATCACAACCTCCACCGACCCCCGAATCCAGCGCCTCAAAGCCCATACCATCAACACCTCCACCCTCCACCTCCCGCGTACCGCCTACCGCGAAGCTCGCACAGAGAAGGAGGCCCGCGCAACAGAGTACAGCGCCGTTAAGCGCCTCCTCAGCAAGGACGACGTCGTCATCGCCGACGGCCTAAACTACATCAAGGGCTTCCGCTACCAGCTCTTCTGCGAAGCCAAAGCGCTGCTCACGCCGAGTTGCGTCGTGAGTTTTTCGATTCCCGTATTATGAGTGGAGTGGGGGAGAGCTGACGCTGGTAGAGGTCCATGTTGCGGCGCCGCCGGAGAAGTGTCGTGAGTGGAACAGCGCGCGCAAGGCCGCGGCCGAGGCAGAGAAGGAGGGCGGCGGCGAAGGCAACGGCGATGGAGTGCCGTATGAGGATGATATTCTCGAGAACCTCATCTTCCGCTACGAGGAGCCGAACGGTATGAGCCGGTGGGACAGCCCGCTGTTTACGGTTCCGTACATCGATGAGACCCCCGACCTGGACGGCATCTGGGACGCCATGGTCGGGAACGCTGTCAAAGTGAAGGCCAACCAAGCCACCGTTCTCGTACACTCCTCTCCCCCCTTTCCGTCTCTAGTAACTAGCTGACACACCGCACAGAAACCGGCATCTGAAAGCGACTACCTCTACGAGCTCGACAAGACCACGCAGGACGTCGTAACGCTGATCCAGGAGCACCAGAAGAGCATTGGCGCGGGCGGCGGGAGCGTGCCGGTCGCGGACTGCGCTGTTGCGCTGGAGCTGCCGAGTAGTAGTATCACGGTGCCGCAGCTGCAGAGGATCCGGAGGCAGTTTATTGCGCTGAATAGGCAGCATGGCGTGGGTAAGGAGAGAATTAAGGAGCTGTTTGTCGAGTATGTTAATGCGCAGTTTAGGTAGTGAATTTATGTCGTTTTGCTTGGGAACTTTGTGTCGTATGGTCTTTGAGTGGGATGGAGGTGGTACATTGCGTTATAAGCGGAAAAACGGCGTAAAATTGGGAGTTTGCTGTTGCCGCAACTACATATATCGGTTGCCTGGCCCGTTGTATCGTCGGGGATCGATCTTGCCTGTGTATATTTTTGCACAAAATATCACTCGGAGTCATCTCTGGACTTCAGCTATCACTCGTTTTCGAAATTTCCTTTTACTCACTCGTCCTTCTCTCCATATCACCCATCTTTCCTCTAAAACCACTTCCCCTTAACCCCCACTCGTCCCCACTCCACATGAATAAAGAAACCAGGCCAGGAAATGCTCTCTCAGCGACAATTCTAGCTATTAGCAACCAAACCACCAAAGCACTAGCCAACCACGCTGAATACTAAAACTCCCGTCCATCCATCCACACTGGCAACCCACCCTCTAAAATGTCATTGTGACGGGTCCTAGCTTCTATAGTAAATCCGGCATCGACTCAGAGCTTTCTCAGAAAAAAGAAATTGTAGGAGAAGTAAATACTAGCACACAGTCACGATTGCTCTACGGGAGTTGACTACATATCGATGAACACTATCTAAGGAAGGGATTTCTCAGCTAAGTGGAGTAGAGAATGTATTTCCATTGAAAGCGTCGATCTTAGAACTTACGTTGTTTAGTGCTAAAGCGAGTCTCGCGGTCACGGTTAAGGTAGCGAAACTAACTACATAGCGTTGTAATATAATGCTCAAAGTGATTCATTCTCGGCCAACTGCAATGTAGTTCACGAGGCGCCTCAAGGCCAGAAGGAATATATAGGGTGCCAGAGGTCTGCCTCGGGTTCTCTCGGTTTTCTCATTTCTACAAGACTCATGAAAATGGAAATTAGGGTAATGATATATATTACTATGCTAGTTTGTGTCATTGATAGGTGTCAATGATCAGGCACAACAATTAAAAGTTAGAAGGTTCCAGGTCTCTACATGTAGCTCATTATAAGCGGATGCAGCTCTCAGACACTTTTCATAGTACCGACATGTACTTGCATGTACTTGCATGTATATTCTTATCTAATTCTATTATCACACACGCCAGCAATCTCGAAAAGATCAATTGGGATCTGATACGCCCCACCCCCCCTACCTACCACGTTATCTCCCCTATTGATCTTCCAACGCCACCACTCCACTACCAAATCCAAGACACCACAGCAGTAATAATAATAATAACAAAAACTTCACCAATACCACCACGCGCACGCCAACCTGCAAGGCCCCATTCCACCCCCCCAAAACCGCACCTCGTCTTCATGACGTACCTAATTAATCCAATTAATCCCATAGAGTACCTACATATAACCCTCCATGGCCCAGATCGCGCTTATGCTCATGCACGCATACCTGCATGCCATGCAGGCTGTCTCAAATCGGACCAGGGGTCCCGGACCCTCCCCTACTCTAGAAGAACCCTTAACCTAGATCAGTAGAACACCACTTAGGGCTAGGAAAATTTTTCAGCCCCGAGATTTTTTTTCGATAGATAATGCAATGCAGCCTTTTGTTAACAGTTACGTGTCGTTGGTGTGTTGTTGTGAGACAAGATCTAGATATGGCCGGGGAGCTTGACTACATAAGTTTTGTTGGGTGGTAGTTAGGGTTGGAAGAGTGGGGTTGGAGAGTAGAGGGTAGGTACAGCACGGGGAGGATAGTGTAAGTTATTATTCTGGATTACTGGACCAAACGAAACATATGGGGATCTTTTGAAACAAAACAAAATGCCTAAAAACTAAACTATAGCTAAACACGCAGGAAGAAAGAAAGAAAAGGACAGTGGTAAGTATCACGCTCTAGCACAACGCCGACACATAAAAAACAAAAGGGGAAAAAAAATATATTCCAAACCGCATCATGAAAACTCACCCGGCCTCAATTGATACTTCCTCTTGACCCTCCTCACCCACCTCCTTCTCCTCCACAAACCCCTGGCCCCCTGCTCTCCGCCAACCCTATCATACACCCATCTCTCACCCTCCTCTTCAATCTCTACACCGCCAATGTACCTCTCCGTAACCCACACCGTGCTCCCTAAATCCAGGGTCCACTTCCCCTCCATCCACTCCCATCCTGGCGGGCACCTCACATCCTCAAAAAATCTTGTACCCTTTGGCCGCTCACCTGCGATCCTGCTAGGTTCCATTGGCTCGTACGGGGTCGGACTAAAGATCCAGCTCTCGTATTCGCCCCCGGAGCCAGTGAGCCGTTGCAGTTCAAATACTTCAACCTCCCGCGACTCTGGGACCGCATCGAGGACGATGTCGGAGTGGATGAGAGAATCTGTGGATGCCGCTACGCGCACTTCCTGGGGGCGCAGATGTGCGGCGTGGAGGTCGAGGAGAAGCTCTTGGAGGGTCGGGTGGCAGAGCGCCAGTCCAATCCATCCAGAGGTAAGGAAAATGAAGCGCCATGGAAGCGCAGATGCTGATATGAACAGAAGTATAGAGGTCAGTAGTAGGGTTATGAAAACTGCCGATGAGACGACTTCATCACTAAAGTTAGTTGGTGGACCGATCAAGGATATGATCTTGTCATGGGCTAAAGAGAAGTCATCCATGGTATTTTGAAGGTCGCGAAGATTGCGGAAGAAGTCTTTGCTCATCTCGCTGACTGCCTTTACTTCTGGAGGAGGTGCGATGGCTGGACCGTGGGCGTTGTAGTTTTCCATGTGCAGACTCGGTGGCGGCGGGTGACGGATTATAAAGCTGGGCACCATGATAAAGAGGAGGACGCAGGCCACCGGGAGCACAGCGAGAAGGTAGGGGTCCAGGCAAACGAAGGAGTAGACAGCAAGGGCGGCGAGAGTGTGGGAGGGCTCCTGCCACTGGATGAGCCGTATCAAACGGTGCTGGAATACAAATACCACCCCGATTCTACATATCACAGAGGTTAGAAAGAATGAAAGTCTCTATTTGCTGGCGAAAAGAGTTATCCCCACGCTCTCGGGCCTGAGGATAGACTTTCCTCACCAGCAAGTATGATCACCAGATGAAGCTCCCCACCTTGCGTTGAATCTCCTGAAGTTACTGCTCATGGTCGTCAAGCTAAACTGCGGCCTATCTTTGTCCCTCCTCTTATCCCGTGTATCCGAATAGCTCTCCCACGTGTAGTCGCTTGGTAGCATTTGCTGCATGAGCTTCGCAAATATGCGTTCCTGCAGCCCCAAAGCTCCGTGGGAACCTTCCTGTGTGTCGCTTTGCGTGCTCCCGCTGTCTGAACTGCGTGACTTGTTGCGTCGGTGGTGCTTATGTGCTTGGTGGGCTTGGTGGGCTGCTCCGACCAACGTTTTCCCGATATCGCGAAGGCTGGGTGACGGTGATGTGGCACGGCGACGGCGGGCGCCGCGGCCAGCGTCGTTCTCGGAGTCGCTCATGGAGTATCTCCGGTTACGGAGACTTGGGTCATAATCGACAAGGAGCGAGTCGTCCATGGCCTTGTTCTGGTGCTGTTATTTGCGGTGGTTTGTTTGCGGGAGTTGTGGGCACTTGTAAGAACGGTTCCGGCCGGTTGACATGTGAAGCCAAGTTGGCTTGATGACGTCGGACGATGCGACGGTTCTGAGCTGTGTTACCCGGCAATTGGACCTTTGAGTTGGATCACGTGAAAGATATAATTGTTTCCAGGATGGAGAGGAAATTGTCGTCTCGAATACAAAGGGAAAGGGATTACCGAATCTAAAGCTGGAGGTCAGAGTGGGTCTTGGAGACGAAACTTCATCTATGTATTGGAGGGAAGAAGCTCATACATGCTCTGTTCTCACAAACACGGAACCCCTCGACTCCCCTTTGTTTCAATCCTTCGTGGCTTTCTATGTAGATAGGTGATGGGTGCAGAGGAGGGAGTCATTCTGACAAAGTATCGTGAGGTTTGCATTCGTGAGGTCGTTGCTAGGCGGACAGGGCCAGTAACAAATGGACATCACATCTCAGCCACGTGCAGCCGAAAAGGGTTGTAGTCTGTGGGGTTGAATGGAACAGTTCCCGAACTAAACCCACTGCAGGTAAAGTAAATAAACGAAACGCTCGCTAAGACCAGCGCAAAGCAGACATCGCCACGGCAACCAGGCAGGAAACCCCGGCACCCTTTGGAAATCCTCCTACAGAACAAGGGACTGCTGGCAGTTGCAGAAGTGTGTGCATTGTGCAGCTGGCTAACCAACCACAGCCAGGAATGGTAGCAGAGCACCACAGAAGGGTTTCTCTTGCCAGTGCTGCCTTGCATACATACGGACGAAAAGAAGAGGAATAAGAAGAAGAAAGAGTTGGCTCATCAACTGTCACCAGTTGATCTCCCCTGAGCTTCTCCCGCTTCTTCCCCTCCACCTGCGTTTACCGTTACCTCATTGCTCTCTTCAACCAGAAAGGGAAAGTAAGCGAAGAAGGAGAAGGGGGAGAAAAAAAAGAAGGGAGAAAAAAGGAGAATCCATAGCATCCATTGGAGAGAAGGAGAAGAGTTGGAAAAACAAAGTAATAATAGGAACGAGCCCGACAAGTGTTTTTGATGTAGCTATCCATAACTACATGTATCTGTGCGTTTCCCGGAGCACGACAGGTACAGCACTGTAGATTACAGGGAATAGTAGGTTAAGAGAACGTTCTTCACCGTCAGTCACTCCATAATTCAGTCACCGAACTTCTTGGGGAAGTTACAATACCAGTTTGCTGGCCGGTGTCACCGAGGGGAAAGAGCCTCTCTCCACTTCATCCACTTCCTCTCTTTTACAGGCCTCAGAGAGATTTATCGATCGACTACATACTCCTGCTGTACTCTCTGCCTGCGCATTCCCTTCCTTTCCCACTCACTTACTTCACATCATACATACTCCAACTCATCTGTCGTTCTTCTTTGGGCAGCTCATCTTGGCCCGTTTATTCATCTCCGCAATGTGTTGCGGCTTCCACACTTAGCCATCCAGATCAGCAACATCCATTAAATACTTGCTTGTACTTACATATCTGCTCCTCGCCGCTGTCTTAGCAACGAGTTCTTGCCCAAAGGGTTGTTGTGTGTTGCTTGCTGCTGCTCCTCATCTCATCTCGTCGCCCTGGAAATTGTAGTTAATTCTTTTCTACCTATTTTGGATTTCTAGACCCTGAACTCCTTGTCCAGAATATTTCCTTTCATCCTTCCGCTCTTTTTCAGGGTCCTAAAATATCTCCTACAACCCCCCAACCCTAGTAACTTTCATTCCCCCCGTTACACTCCCTTTCATTCATTTACTCTCGCTCGTCTACGGTTATCCACCCGTTCAAGGCCTAGTCTGGGTTCACTCCCAACCCCACCCCTTTTCACACTCTACGGATTCAATCATCCACCCCCATCCCATCCTTTCCACACAAAACAAAGTTAGTGAGTTTTGAGTGTGAGAGAGATAGAGATAGAGAGAGAGAGAGACGTCAGCTCTTTCCACTGTTGTTGCTGCTGCCTCTCTATCCCTCTAACGCAGTCCCTCCACTCGCCCAGTCCAACCACTCCCACCACACCAACACTTGTGTTGCCGGTGACCGTAGTGGCTCGTCATGCCGGTTCGAGTCTCACAACAACCGCCTACATCCAATAATTTGTCCAATTCATCTACCACAACAACCACAACCACAACTACCTACTCCCTTCGTCGGGATTCGCCTGCATCGTCTCGGGGGGACGATTCGAGTACTAGTTCTATTTCACTAGGTATGAGTGGCCACCACTATCCCTCGGCAGGAAGGAGAGATGAAGGGGGAGATCTTCTAACATTAATTTGTGTAGTAGATGGAAGACAGAGGAAACGCCTCAACAAGACAACCTCGGAGTCCCACACCTTACCTCGCTCGAAACCTTCGTTACGAGAACCTCGATCATCACCAAAGACTACTACTACTACTACTACTCAACGTGCCCAGCGTCATGAGCAGAAGCCTATAAGTAATAAGACTTCGGACTTTCAGAATTCAAGATCGTAAGTTAAGCTCCGTCTGGTCTTACACGGGCCACCACATCCCACCCCCTTCCCCTTATCCCAGTCTTTGGGATTCTAACAGGATCCCCGTGAGTTTACAGTGATGTCAATACTAGTGTCTCCTCCTCGAATGCCCTCGCCAATAACAACAATCCCAGAACCTTCCTACATCCACCGAACGGCCACGCAGGGGCAAATATAACTACGTTTTATGCTTTTGGTCAGAATTCACTAAACACGCAGCAACCCGCAGAACCCCTTGGGGAACCATTTGATTTTTCGCCTTCAGGAAACTTGGAGGACATTCATAGGAGTATCATCGATACAGAGCAGCTCAGCCAGTTTCCAACACCGAGACGGGGGAGAGGAAACACAGACGCGATGGAAGAGAACCATCACAGAACTCAACCAACAACAATGGAGAGCCGACCGGCAGTTTTGCGACGACCAAGTGTCTCGAATAAGAATGTGAACAGTCAGGGACCGACCCATTACGAGCAGCGAAGTCGTCGCCAGAGCAACGCGCCTACGCACCAATCCTCGAATAACTCCCTTTCGTCAACTTACCGCAAGTCAATGGCAACAACAGATACCGAGAGCTCAAAGCGGAGGAGGCCGAGTGCGGCCAATAATTCGCTTACACCACCAGTTCCAAAGGAGTACGTGCCTGGTAGTGGGTACTCCTCCAAGACTTCTGATGCTGTTTATAAGGTCCCTGCATCTACTAGAACTGCAAAGTCAAAGTCTTTACAACCGCCTGCACGACATCAGGGGCAATCGAAGCCATCGCTATCTCCCGAGCACGGTCGTGCTCAATCGATGGCTTTCCCCCCGAAATCCCCCAGATCGCCGAGCCTGTTGAGTAAGCTAGGGGCCCCGAAGCAGGGCGGTATTCCATTATCTACTTCTTCGCGAAGAATCTCAACAATTCCCCATGCCTCAGGCCTGGGTGCCAGAACTGTTAGCCCTACTGACGCGAGGCGCGCGAAGCGCCTTTCAGCCATCCACTCCCCAACTCCCCCTTCCCTACCCTTACCCGTAGAAGATGCGCGGTCGGCTCCAGGTAGCCCATCAATGATACCAAGAAAAAGCGTCACGCCATCATCCTCAGGGACAACCCCCGAGCCCCAGAGGAAATCTTACAGTTCAGGTTTATCCACCGCGTCTACAAACACTTCGGCGCGAACATCCATCGGTTCTTTGCAGCCGAAATTGAGTCAGAATCTAGCTGTCTCACGGTTACCCAAACCGCCTAGAGCTTCTGTAGAGAGAGATGAAGAGATCCCCCCTGTTCCGCCTTTGCCGAAGGAATTGGCTTCCCCTATGGTTGCCAATTTTAGCGATGCAGGTTACAACTCCAATAGTAACGGGAGGAAGAGCGGCAATAGCACCAATGGATACTTCGGACCACGGAAAGACAGTTTACCAACAGAACCGGAGCTCTTCGACATGGAATCTGATGCTTCTTCAAGGCCAGCAGTGCCGGAGAAGCCGAAATTTTCCGAAAAGATTGAAAAATCGGGAAGGACGTCGAAGGAGAAGTCGCCGGAGAAGACTACAAGGGCCGACAGAGAAACACGGAGAAAGCGTGGAATGACATTGGGTGGCATGAATGTGGGGCAGGGAATGCAAACTCTGGAGTCCAAGAGCTCGTCTTCCAGCTTGAGGAAGAAGGACCTTGTCCCGCTGCGTCTGCCGCCTCTGAATTTGTTGCCATTGAGCACCCCGACAATTGCTCGGGTCAATGCTTTGGGACCCCATTCAGATTCAGATGAGCTTACGCCACCGCAGAAGCGTAGTATCAAAACGCCAAGCACACCGATGACCGCATCAAAAGCCGGTTTCTTTGGAAAGGGGAGGGATAGGGATGAGGCGGCATATAACCGAGCAACCAGCTCTTTCAACCACCCCACACAGCCAGCTGAAGATAGTCCTTCAAGTCTTTCATTGAGGGCGGGCTCAAGTGCAAGCAGCAGCATTCCGGTTTCAGCAAGCAGCAGGATGGGAAGGCAAACCATCAGCCCATATGTTTCGCACTCACTCTCGAAGGGTACCCCGACTGGGGAATTTGAAGGGGAGGGCAAGGATCATAAGGGAAGGCTCATTGGAGTGACTTTGGGTGGCGGAGCTACAAGGGAAACCAATAACAAGAGTAGATCCAGGAAGAGCCAGGAATCAGTGGGGAGTGCACCAGTAGCGGAGGAGACACCGGGCACCCCTACAAGCGCAAGCTCAATCAGGAGGAAATTGAGCTTGAGCTGGAAGAAGAGCAGTTCTAGTAAGCACAGCCATGCTGCGACAGAAAGAGCTGAGGAATATTCGACACAGAAATACGATACTGCGCAGAAGTTCGATTCGATGCCGCCACCCAAACTTCCGAGCTCTGCTACATGGTCAGCAACAACGAGCCACCCGCCAAGCCCCGTCAGAATCCAGAAGGTGGCTACTTCCGGAGAAGGTCAGGCTAGAAGAAAGAGCTCGATTGGCAATGGTGTTAACCTTCCAGAAAGCTGGAGTAAGGAGACTATTGCATCTGAGAAAAGGTCTACGGAAAGCGTGGTTTCCCAACAACCCCCCCCAACACCTGCTAAGAATTCAACTGGAAGCTCAATTTTGGGACCGATGACGAAAATGCTGAGCAGTAAGCATTCTTTGGGTCAAATGAGACACAAAACTCAACCTGCAGTGCCAGCGCATGCAGACCCCACTATGGATCATGACGATCTGATGGCAGAGGATGAGATGAGGAAGATTGCGAGCAAGCGAAAGAACTTGGATGCTATGGCTCAGGAATTGGAGGAGCTGAAGCGCCGTGCAACACCAAAGGAACGCGTTTCTCCCCCCCAAGCTCTTCGCTCAATCCCCTTGAACATATTTGAACGTGGCGAAATCGTGGATTACAAGGAAATCTATTTCTGTGGAACCTCTGATGCCAAAAAGCACGTTGGTGATTTGAACTCGACAACCTTGCCTAACTTTGGATATGATGATGAGCGTGGTGATTATATGATAGTAAAGGGTGACCACCTGGCATACAGATACGAGGTAGTTGATGTCCTTGGTAAGGGAAGTTTCGGACAGGTCGTTAGATGTGTAGATCACAAGACTGGAGGTTTGGTAGCTATTAAGATTATCAGGAACAAGAAGAGGTTCCATCAACAAGCTTTGGTTGAGGTTAATATCCTCCAGAAGCTGAAGGAATGGGTATGCAATTATGTTTCCCCGGCTGAGAAGTGCTTTATTAATGGTATATTGTAGGATCCACATGGCAAGCACAGTCTTATCAATTTTACCCAGTCATTTTACTTCAGAGGACATTTGTGCATCTCCACAGAGCTGCTTGGAATGAACTTGTACGAGTTTATCAAGTCGAATGATTTCCGCGGATTCTCGCTGCGGCTCATCAGGAGGATGACCAAGCAGATGTTGAGTAGTTTGGTGCTGTTGAAGGGAAAGAGGGTCATTCATTGTGATTTGAAGCCCGAGAACATTTTGCTGGCGCATCCCATGCGTTCAGAAATCAAGGTCATTGATTTTGGAAGCAGTTGTTTTGAGCATGAGAAAGGTACCTTTATAATCTGTCGGTATTTTTTATTGATACTAATGAATACTTTAGTGTACACATACATCCAGTCTCGTTTCTATCGTTCACCTGAAGTTATTCTTGGAATGACCTATGGAATGCCGATCGATATGTGGAGTTTGGGGTGTATCTTGGCTGAGTTGTTTACCGGTTACCCCATCTTCCCAGGAGAGAATGAGCAGGAGCAGCTGGCTTGTATCATGGAAGTGTTTGGCCCACCCGAAAAGCACTTGATTGAGAAGAGTACAAGGAAGAAGCTGTTCTTCGGTATGTGGCTCTGTCTTCTTCGTCCTGATTCAGGTGGCTAATGGATTTATAGATTCTTTTGGGAAGCCGCGAATGATCGTCTCCTCCAAGGGCAAGCGAAGGAGACCTAGCTCCAAGACGCTCCAGTACGTCTTGAAATGTGATGATGAAGCATTCCTCGACTTCATTGCTAGGTGTCTTCGCTGGGATCCGGAGAAGAGGCTTAAGCCAGACGAGGCCATGCACCATGACTTCATCACTGGCCGCAAAGCTACAAGGCCAAGAACGGCGACTGAGTCACCGATAAAGCGCTTCAACACCTCGAGCTATGCAACATCGACTTCCAGGCCGCTTCCTGACCCACCTGCCACTAAGCCCAGGATCACTCACGGGTCGTCAACAACCCAAACCTCCAACGCATCACCGATGAAGGGTTATAGTTCAGTCAAGAGGAACCCCAGCACAGCAGGGGCAGGGGCAGGGGCAATTTCAGGAACAAAGAGGAATTCGATGGGTGGAGCGGCAGTACAGAGTGGGCTACCAAGGGTTACAGCCGCTCAGAGGAGTGTGAGTGGAAAGGTGCCAACGCCGTCGTCAAGTTCTCATGGCTTAAGAGGGTCTGCGGGAACTTCATCCTCGATTCGTCTGGTTAGGGATGATGAGTCGAGTGACAGCCAGACAGCGCAAAACACACATCGAAACCAAAACCGATGATTATGATTGAAATGATTATTACATGACCCTTCTTCCGCCTCTATACTTGTTCTTGTCCTTTTTTTTCTTGTCGATTTTGCCATGTTTAATGATCATTCTCAAAAAACCTCTTTTTTATCTTTTTTTTTTTCTTCGCGTGAGGGAGTTTTTCTTTTAACGGTTTCTTTCTTTTTCTCTCCTCTCATCACCGCGGTACTGGGCAAGGCTGGGGTTTCATCATGTTCTTAAGGCTTTTTTTGTGCGTCTGGTCGAGCATCTTCTTTTTTTCTTTTTTTGTCCCATCGTTCTTATTACTTATACATACTACGTACTTTATTTTTTAATATCAACGGTGCGGTGGGAGAAAAAAAAGAGAAAACGAAAAAGACCAGTCTTTGTTTTGTCCTCTCGGGGTGTTTGTTGAGAAAATGCGGGCCAATGTGCTAATTCTCTCCTTGTTTTTTTTCTTGCGCGGACGGGATGGGTGGGATAATACCCGGGTTATTCTTTTTATACCACTTTCTTTCTTTCTTTCTTTCCTTGATCTTAACTTTTACCTACCCATCTCGTTTGACCTGGTTTCTTGTTATAATTCCATTTTGCTGGGGTGTTTTTTTTCCCTTTCTTTTTTTCCTTCCTCTATTTTTGGGTCCGGTTTCTATTGGCGGGTGATCAAAAAAAAATTTAACTTGTTAGTATTCTATCTATATTCTGGATGTATTTGCCTGCCCTGCTACTGCAATGTCATAGAGGGTGGTTTGTTGGTTTGGGGGGGTGGGGGCTTTGGTGGCGTGGAGGGATGGATTGGAGGGATGGGTTGGGTTGGTAATTGGGTCTATCTATTGATATGATTGATACCTTTCTAGCTGCTCTATAACTACTTACATGATATACACAACAACAACACACACACACACATGCACATTTTATCCCTCTCTTTGATATCCATACGTTATCATTATGCTTGTATGCATTGATCGTTCTGTTACTCCCTCGTTTACGTTTACTTGGCTGCTTTTGAATCATGTATCTGCTTCGACGGGGTGTTGACGGGGTGGGGAGGGAAAAACGGTCTCGTTCTACACTTTGGCGTGGGTGTTAGGGAGAGAAAAAAAGAGGCGGGGGGAGGGGTTGTATATAGCAGTATTCGCATACCTTATGCACTTCATATGTATAGATACTTTATCCATGTACCAGTGTGTCCCCCCCATGTACTTATTCCCCGTGATACGAAACGACCCCATCCCGGATCACGACATATCACTCGACGACATTTCCAGCTGCTTTGTATGTACTTACAGGGATCATGGGTGGAGGGATCGTGGGCGAAGGGACATCTGTACGAGGTGAGTGATTGGCTATGATTTTGATCGATTGATAGACAGGGGCGGGCGCGCAGGAGTATTATTTGTGTAGAGAAAATATTTGTTAAGGGTTTAGTTTTTCTTATCTGTTTTTTATAGAATAAAAGTCTTGTTTTGACATCAATGCAAGAGGAGAGGAGAGGAGAGGTTTAGACTGTAAGTGCACACGCAGTCAATTGGTAGACCGACGATGAAATGAAATCCAACAAACCTGCCCCGCGGGGCAACCCGCATTATGTAACTGACGCTACTCTGAAAGTAAAGTACATGCAGTTAAGGACGTAAAGCCACCCCCACAATTGACCAAACCTAAAAACGCCAACCCACACTCCACACGACGCCCTGAGGTTGAAATAAGACGTGGCGGACCGCCACACAACCCACCATCCCCAAAGCAGTGACCACCCCACAAACCCCACTACACTTTACACCGACGTCTTTTGCAACTTGCGAGGCATTAGTTCTCCTCGCATGCGCGCAACTACTACTCCCCATGGAATCATCGCCACCAAGGAAGGATTGAGAGGAAAGTTAGGAAGTCAGAGAGAATAAACTGTGTATTTCTACCAATTCTGATAAGATGTATAAATCTATCCCCCGAAATTACTCTACTCTAACGATAGTTGAGATAGAAAGAGACGAGAAGGAGAAGAGGAAAAGGAAAGATGAAATAGGAAACGAAGAAATCCGTTGACGACCCTCCACCGAAAATTAAACCCTAAAAAACCAAAGCATCCCATCTCACGGAGTAACTGACGTCTAAAACGCCCCACAAGTTCCCTGATCCGGGCCCGATGTGAGGGTATGAAAATAAGAAATGGAATGATTGATGTGTAGAAATTCAAAATGAAAGCTTAAGAATTAAGAAAAACCATATGCAACGCCCCGGCCGTACAACTTTTACCAAAGGAAAGAGGAAAAATAAATCTACAAAACAAGGTCTTTAGCTAACGATCCGGCCTCCCCCACATGAGAGCGTTTGATCCCGTGGAGGACGGCATCAAGGACGTTCTTAGTGATCTGCCTTGGCTCGTGAGCGGGAACAGATCCGGGGGCGTATACACCGGTCTCGACTAGAATGCTGTACCATTCCTCGTCAACGGTTTTGTGGTATTCGTTTGTTCCCTTGATGTCTGTTTTGTCTCCACGTTAGCTACGTACTGATCAGAGAGAATAGAGGAGTGATTGAGTACGAACCTGATTCACAAGTATCACCAACAAAGTAAACTGTCTTCGGGGCGCCCTTGGCCCCGAACCTAGATTCACGCCATTGCTCAAGAACACGGGTTGCGAACTGATATGTTCCAATCTGCGGCTTCCCAAAGGCTGTCGAGGTCTTCAAGTCCTTTCCGGTCTGGTGCTTGTACATGGATTCGACAAAGACCCTGAAAGCACCCATTCCATATCGGTTGAGCTCATAGTTGGTTGCCCAAACTACATCATTGTGGCTCCAGTAGATCGGTGGCCCCTCTTCAAAGGTCTCTGACAGAGTCCCCATACGTCCATTCTTGGACATGAGGAGTTCCAAAATGATCTGGGCATCGTCACCCCAATGCCTGCTGTCCGCGAACACAAAGATAGCCTCAATCTCGAGTTCTTCAAGATCAAGCTCCTTGCAAGAGTTGTGCTCGGAGTCTTTGAGTTTTCGGAATGGCGTAACGGCAGGGTTCGACTTCATGAGGTCACCCGGGGTAACGATGTTCTTGAAGCCATACGTCTTGGCAACGTCACGGCACTTTTCACCCTCGCCTCCCACAACAAGAACGGTCCCGTAGACATCGGCCATCTCTCGCATGGGAGAGTGTCCACAAATGAATTGATCGGGGGACACAACAGTTTCGAGCTGTTTGCTAAGGTCCTGGCATCGTTCGGCCTCAGTTTTACCACCGCCCTATTTATCATTATCAGTATTGTTTCCTAATCAAATAAAGTCTGGCCGAAGAACAACTCACGTTTGTAACAAAAATATACGGGATCTCAATCCCAAACTCGTTCTTTCCATTCAAGACCTTAAGAGCCTCTACAGCCTCCGGAATTACTTCGCCTCCCTTGAGGAGCACTCCATCGATGTCGAATGCAAATGCAAAATCCGGTACAACTTTCATCACCGGGCTCACATTAGGTGAAGGATAGCAAGACATATCCCAAGAGTTTGCACTGTCAGAGAACTCTGAGCTCGAGGCTGTGTCCTCATCGACGGGACTTGTAGGTGCAATCATGCTACCAACATTTGCACCCGCACCCGCGCTTGCACCGATGCGGAGAGACTCTTGGAGACTTTCTTTGGTAAGGGGGTTCGAGACTCGAGTGATAGTTTCATTCTCAGAGTCAGTAGAGTCCCTTCGTGAAATGATTTGAGGCATGTTTGTGGATTTGATGGTAGGTTTGATATATTGTTGTTACGAAAAAGCTAATAAAATGATGGAAATGTGGGGATAAAAGCCGAGCGGATAGACCGAAAGAATTGGAGTAAGAAGCTGTTGTTTGGTAATGATGTACTGTGTATGAGGTAGTAGTGTAGTGAATTGAGTAGAAGCCTTGAGGGGGGACTTAGAACCTCTTTATAACTTTGAAGCCGTTACCTTCAATCCACTATCACCCCACACACAGGCTATCCCGCTCTAGCTATTCAGAAGATCCCCATACCCAACTTTCCCCCCACTACTCCAGTATTCAGTAATGTCTTAGTCTTACTAGTAAGGCAAAGCAGCAGATCGTCACTGCCTTTTCCGTGGTGACATCAGAAGGGATTATTAGTCGAGTTTCGAAATATTAGGATTAGATCCAAATTTTTTGATCATTCGGTAGGCTCCCCATTCCCGATTGAAGTGTATTCCCAGATGGACAAATAATAATTACAGGGTCTGCCTGCAGTAGGGAGATCGAGGAATAGTAGTAAATAAGGAGATGAGAGGGTAGAGAAATTTAAAAGCTATGATTACTATACTTGGCAATCCACCCATCCATCCACAGCCAGTATATAGCTCCCGCGCGCCGTTCACCGAGGTACGTCCCCGACCAACAGCAGCAGTAATATCAACAGCGTACCGCTGTATTTGAGAAAATTCGTTGCGCTGCAGCAGGGGTATAGGCCAACCAGAGGCAGTATTTGGACGTCAATATGCAAGATTTGGTAGAGAACACCCCTGCTGCAGCGCAACGAATTTTCTCAAATACAGCGGTACCTTTCTTTTACTTGTGAATCTCAAAACACATGTAGCCTGTGGGCATATGTTCAATGACGTTGATCTGTAGATAAGTAGCGTAGCACAACCCTGCACAGGTCGGCAACATGCATACAGGGTGTTGTGGCTGCAGTGGGTGTGTAGATCATCCACATGTGGCACGCTAATCCGGCATGTATCGTAAAAACGTCGCCCAATCCTCTCTCTCACGACCCTGCCAGGTCCAAGAATCAATCAGATCAACCACGTCCCTGGGCGAGACCCTCTCGCTGGAAGAGCCGCTGCCCAGCCCTTTTCAAGATCAACTTACGCCATGCCCGGAATAATTCCCTCAGCCCGTACCTCCTGTAAATCATCTCTTTTTCTGTTAGCCGCAACAACTGATATCTTCAACCGCCTAGATATTATCATGCTATCCAATGAGCGCGGATGCGAGCATAGAAGCAAAAAAATATGACTGGAAAAACAAGGA